GTCCCCAGCTCCCTCCTGGTTTTCTTCATGTTCTCTTAGTCTCCCCACCATAGGTTCTATAGGTCTATTATTTCAGTTTTTTGTGTTGTGTGTGTGTGTCCTTCTCCATCTATTTTGTGTGTGTGTGTGTGTGTGTGTGTGTGTGTGTGTGTGTGTGTGTGTGTGTGTGTTTGTCTTTCCCCAGTCAGGTTGGTGTCCTCCCCTGCTCCTTCCTGCTCCTCCTCCCTGATTAGTTGTTGCTCTCACCTGGTTCTCTCTCCACACACCTGCAGCCATCTGCCTCCCATCATGCCCCAGTGTATTTAAGCCCTGTCTGTGTCTCATTGTCTTGTCGGTCCATTGTTTTGTGTCAGCGTTGTTTTGTGCTCTATGTGAGCTTATGCACCTTGTCTCCAGGTTTTGTGCTCTAGGTGAGCTTTTGTGCCTCGTATCTTGGTTTGTGCTCTATGTTGAGCTTCCGTCCTCCCTGTATTCGGGACTTTGGTTTTTGGCCTCCAGCCATTTTGGATTTTTGGTTTGTCATCCTAATAAAAAGGATTTTACTTTTAAACTGCTCCTGCCTCGTGTCATCTGGTGTTGTCTGCATCTTGGGTCCAACCTCCTCCTATCTGCAACGTGACACCCTGATTAGTGGTGGAATGGAACAAAGTACCTATACTGTACTTAAGTACACATTTTCTGTACTTTACTTAAGTAATTTTGCCGAGGTCTGCTTTTTACTTCTACTCCATGCCAAAAATGTTGAGGTATAGTTAGTTTATTTTGGGTTTTAATTTGACATCACGTTAACCTTACTGTAAATGTGTAATGCCCAAACTAAGCTGCAGGTGGCAGTATCATATGCAGCAGCTATGAAGTCTGCTTGGAAGACCGCACAAAGGAGGGACACTAGAGTAAGTGACTACTGTCTAGAACAGGGGTCACCAACATTTGTGAGGCTGAGAGCTACTGTCTGCTGCTCACAAATGTTCATTTCTGAAGCCTAGCCCAGCTTCCACCGGTCCTTCACTGTATAACTCATTTGCTCTTTTCCTCTGTAGTTCCCACAATCTTGTAAGCTGTCTCTGCTGCCATGTTTTTAATCACATAAAGTGTGATTTTAAAAACAGCCACAAAAAAAATGATTTTATACGTTGCTGAGCGGTTAATTGTGCTATTTTAGAACAGGAACTAAGGACACCTTATAGGGCTCCTGGGGGCACATTTGTGCCCGTTGCACCAGGCTGGTGACCCCTGATCTAGAACCTGCTATACTGTGTACTGGATCGACAAGCTACAACCACTACCAACAATAGCGAGTCTGAAACAGAGGTGACAAAAAGAGTGACTCTAAAAAGCGACTTGGAAGAAGATAAAACCAGTTCTGGTGTAATACTTTGTGGACTTCTTAAAGGTCAAATTCACTCAAAAAACAATTTTTTATACTAATTTCTGATTATAATCAGTCACTGAGTTGTGATACTGGCTGAGCATGAATATAGTCTTCTACATCTGTCTCTCACATTAGCGTCTGATAAAAATAGATGACAAATCACAGTTCTCCGTTCACCAGGTGGTCGGGATGTTACTCCAACAAAGCAAAACCATGGCCACAGCTTTGTAGTGGTCCAGTCACAGTGCTCTATTTGTGGACGGGGTGTTACTAATACAAATGTGGCAACAGCTCGTTTGAAACGGCTTTGGCATAACCCTTAGACCATTTGGACTTGGGCTTTTCTTTGACTCAAAAGCAGAAAGAGGTACTTTAGTTTATTTAGACAAATTTTGATGAACCACCTCGTTGACTGATATCCATAGCAGTGAGTACGTCTCAATGTTTGTTATCCAATAGCATGCAGAGACAGTTTGAAAGGCAACTGTGGATCCTGCCCCATGACTAAGAGCCGTCAGTGGACTGTGGCCAGACTATATATTCTTCAAAACGTGGACATACACATTGCCGAAATGTATTTATTCATCTTTTGGGTGGAAAATGGAAAACACACAAGTATTTAAATGGTATTACAAAAGTATCTGTATTCTAAAAACCCTATTTAAAAATAGTAACTGTAAAAGAATACAGTTACACATAAATAGTATTCTAAATATGTAACGGCGATACGTATTCTGTTATTCCCCAGCACTGTTCCCCACACTGACGGTAACACGCTTCCGTACCTCAAGCATTCACTGTTTTTAGAGGTTCTCCTCTCTGAACTCTTTCTCCTATCTAATGAAACACATTATTTGTATCATTTCACTCAACTTGCTGTTTTTTGTCATAAAAACACATAAAGCGACCTTAACGTGGGAAATGAACGTAACAAATCATCAGAGGATAAATGTACCAAGATGCATCTCAAACCATCTCACACTTCCCCCTGTAGACATCACCACATGTTTAGCTCTGCAGACAGATTACAGCCATTGTTCTCCTCCTCTATCACAATGTTAACAAGATATGTCCTTTAACATCCTAAAACAGTGTCATTAGTAGCACGGGCTGAAGGTGTTATTCAACTAACATTTGTAGGGCCATGCATCACTTACATCCCTGCAGCAGTTTGTACTAAACTCACAGCCCTCAGTGGCTCCCTCCTCTGCCATCTGCAAATGTCAATTACCATATTTCCCCCTGACATTTATCAGTAATGGCTAACATGAGCTATGTGAAATCAGAGTCATTATCTTAGAGATGGACAGAGAGGTGCTGATGGCTCCTGCAGCTTCATGCAGACACACAACAAGACTCGCTTATTGATCAGAGATAGTTGAAGCTTGAGCACATCTCAATAAATGCCTAACCACAACATGATCAAAACAAATAAATTAGCTGACGACTTTGCCGCTGCAGGTGTTCCACTTATTCAAATTCAACCTTTCATAACTTAAGCATGGAATTTTGAGTATTTATTAAAATTTTGGTCAGTGTACAAAACTAGTGAAGTTTATTTGTTCTCTGTAATTTGATTTTATTTAGTTTGCAGTTTTCGCAATGCAAGTACATTTTATCATCAGTGAAACAAGGTGATGTTAAAAACATTATGAAGGCACATTCATAAACTGTTTAAGTTGATTTTCTCATGGGTCAGTGTGTTTTTATGATTTTTAAACATTGTCGTGTAAAAGATAAATGTATAAATTTTTGGAGCTGGGATTAGGACAATATTCCAAGTTTTTTAACATTTAACATGTTTTGTAACTGTAACTTTTGTTTTGTAGCATATAATTCTCATTTTGTAACATGTAACTTTTGGGACAAGAATAGTGATTTGAAACTTTCACAATGATTTTTTTCTGCAAGTTATATAAAAGTTTAACGTTACATGCTGAAAGCTACAATTTACAAAACGAGAATTACATGCTACAAAACGAATGTTGTGTGTTACATGCTGAAATTTACGAGTTACAAAATGAGAATTATATGCTACAAATCGAAGGTTATGTGTTACAAAACGTGAAATACATGCTACAAAATGAAAAATAAAGTTACAAAACGTACAAACGTACACCTTATGCTAATATTGTCATAATCCTAACTCCATATAACAGGATGCAACTGAAGACAAAAGCAACAGTTGTGCAAATTTTCTTGTTGCAATTTGGTCAAAAAAGTGTTTACATTGTGTCTCAGTTTGTTTGTGATGTACCCTGATTCTATTCACAATTTTCTCTTCAACCACTCTCAAAGTAATCTCTAATTATCGCACTTCTTGACTAAACTAGAACAAGGATTGAGGCAGGTTTTATTTATTTTTATTTACTTATTTATTTATGCAACCACTCTGTTACCGTTTTATGAGGAAATTGGTCTCATAAGGGAACGGACACAAACAAACATTTGAAGACATTTTGAAGACTTCATCACAAAAGCTGTTTGCAGCAGTTGGGACTCCTTTCGACCAGAAATATAACACTACACGATTGTAATTCCTGAGATTAATCAGTTTTTCCATAAAACTGTCTTGTTGGGTAAAAGCCTTGTTTGAAACATCTGTTTTCACTCAGTCATTCATCACTCACTCATGCTCTGGACTGCTTTTTAGCGAGCTGGTGTCTATCTGCCACAAGAGGCGGGGGACACCCTGGACAGGTCTCCAGTCCATCACAGGGACACACACATACACACACACACACACACACACACACACACACACACACACACACACACACACACACACACACACACACACACACACACACCTAGGGACGTTTTAGTGTCTCCAGTTAACACAAACATCCATGTTTTCGTGGAGAACCAGGAGAAAACCCACATCTTTCCTGTTGTCGAGTAAAACTGGTAACCAATGTTATCCACATATGCACCGGGAGAATGTGCTAACTCCACACAGAAAGGTCACATTTGGGATTTAAACCTACAACCTTCTTGCTGCAAGGCAGCAGTAATACCACCTGCAGTCCCAGTTTTTGCTTCACCTCACCTAATATTTATTTTATTTAACTCTTTCACACTTTATAAAACATATTTGTACAAACATGATCTAATTAGCTGCTCAGAGGATTTAATTAAAATATTTTTTGTTTATTTTGATTATTACAAATGTGAGAATTTACACAAATTTCACAAATTATACAATTTGGAATGCAGGTGCTGAAGACTTGATGTGTGTGTGTGAGCGTGTGTGTGTGTGTGTGTTAATACATGTGAGATGTTCTCATCTGACACAAAAAGTGAGACTCAACACAATCCCAGCCACATGAAGGTGTTTTTTCTTGTGAAAGGGTGTCACGTTGTCTCTTGGTGACATGCAGTCAGCTGTCAATAATGATGCAGTTCAAACAGCTACCAATAAACTCTCCTTTAATGATTATTTATTGAAACCATTTCAAACATCAAATTCCATCACTAGCTTCCTTTTGCAGCTGCTAAAGGTGTGATCCTGGGTCTCTGTTTGAATTTTTCATGGTTAAACTATTTAATTCCTCTCATTTGTGGACTCTGCTGCATCTCTAGAGGACATCTTTCTTTTTTTCATGATGTGACTGAGGGTCAGACTCACCACTCCGATGGAGAAGTAGTTGTTCATGATGCTGTAAGGCACCGGGTCTCCTCTCTCCTCCTTGTCGGAGGGGGTGACGTCTATCTTCCAGCGATCCAGCATCACTTCTGAGCTGTTCTCGATGTCCCGCAGGATCTTTAGGAGGCTTTCGCCCTCATAGCCTTAAAGCAACATGTTCAACATTAGAAACAATCAGATGATGTTTTTCAGCTCGCTGGAAACTCATTTAAAAATAAAAAAGCTACGTTTTCTTAGTTGATCAAACTGCCAATTGAATGCTCATGAATTACTCATCTGACAGAAAATTAACAAGTAGCGTCTGTGTTAAGGTTTATCTCAGAACTGTTTTAAAAACAAACTGGCCTGTAATGGTTCCTTTGTGTGTTTTTCATTGAAGTAAAACATCCTAAATATCTTTATTTGCATCGGTTCTGATGGAAAGTAGGAAATTTTGCACTTATTCAATATTTGTATTTATTATCTGTTCATAACATGACTAATAAATGAACTATTTTTATAACAGAGCAGCTCACTCCAGCCCAGCAAACCTTTTCTCATGACGTTGTCTGATCCTCATAATTTTAGCGATATAAAATTATTATAATTTATCTTACTGTGTTCATTTTTTTATCAGTTAAAGTTGCTACATAAATAAAATCTAATAAAGGTTTAGTTTGAACATTATCAGGTACATTTATTTATGCTCCTATCAGGATGTGAGAAACATCCCAGGATGCACACGCCCCCACTTCATTCACACCGACCTGCCAGAACATTATGACCACTGCTGTCATGTTCTGTTTGAAGTAACTACTTCCTGGGATTTACAGGGATTTATTTTTATTAGATTAAACATTACAAACATAGCACGAGTATCTAACTGAGCTGCAACTGGGAGTTTCTGAAAGTTCCCAGTTTCCTTGAATGAGACCCAGGACCAAACATGAAAAGTTCTTAAAGCTCTCATTCACTCTGTATTTCAGTGGATCTGGGGCCACATTTATCAAGCTTGCTTACGCGCAAAACGGGGTCAGAAAACTGCGTAAGCAACTTTCCACGCAAACTATGGATTTATGGAAGAAAACTTAGCGGGAAAATGTACGCAACTTTAAGTTGACTAAGGACCTGGCTTACACACATTTTGGACACGGAGAGCACCTGCAGTGCTGCTGCTGAGAAGGATAAAATTATGAATTCCAGCAGCATTATCACTTGTACTGCTTCGTGTGCACACACAGAAGAAGCCCCCCACATGCGAGCGCACACACACACACACACATGCACGCACTCACACACACACACACACACACAGACAGCCTGAAGCGCAGAATACGGAATGCAGAATATCAGCAGGGGGACAGAATGTCATGCGTCTGTGACAGTGCGTGTGTCCTGTCACTGTGACCCGACTGGTCATGCGCCCTGGCTATTTGATCAAGGGAGGTCTCTGTTTGGCTGACTGGTTAGTGCGTGTGGCTCTCACCCGGGAGTCTGGGGATTGATTCCTGATCGGACCATTTTTATTATATCCGCCATAGATCTCTCTGAAGAACTCACAACATTGATGGCCTCAGCAACGCTGTGCCACTCTGTGGATTTTCTCTTATTTGTTTTGCAAAAGCACTTCCTTTCATTTCTCCACCTCACCCACAAGTACCTCAATTTCTGCTTGTGAAATAGCGCTTCCTTGATCTGCGGTCGTGATCAAAATGCTGCAATAAATCGGCTTATGTATATGCATGAGATCCACAAGGCACTTTGCATTGACCATTTATGGCAGTAAGTGGGTGTGGTGAGGGCGGGATGTGACTAAAATGCAGCGGAGAAACATTCTTGTTAGTCTCCGATTTATGAAGCGGAGATTGCGTGCAGCTGTGTGTACTCCATGTTTGATAGATCACAAACCTACTTGGCGTGAGTACATTTTTTTGCTGAGCTTAAGTACGGTTTTAGTAAGGATTCTATGCAATGTTTGATAAATTAGACACCTGGTCTCTAATAAATGGAAGAAATGCCGTCTGACTTTTTAAAAAATAATGAATTTATGACATTGAATTTTTCATCCTTTGAAATGATTCATTTGACCTTTTTTTGACAAAAAATACACCAGCAAAAATATCATTAGCAAAAGTTCAACTGCAAGATTTCATTTTCAGAAATTCAACAACTAAGGTGACCTGGTGACCAAAGCCAAAGTAATCATCACTCGGTCGAGTGGCTTTCAGCCAATAAAATGACGCTTCTCTGATCACGTGACACCAGTGAGATATTAACTCGATTGAATAATGATGGCTTTGGCTAGGGTCACCAGGAGGTCACCTCATTTGCTGTTGAATTTTTGCAATGGTCAGTGGTGTTCATGAATGAAAAAATTCTAATACTAAATTTCATAGGATAAAATTCTAAGTCATAAATGCAATGTCAAAAAAAGTCATATGCTGGTGAGACTGCATATTAGTATACAGTATATAGTTTACTTCAGTTATTTTTCTAATATTTTGTTGTTTAAAGTTAAAAACAAAAAAAGTAGAATCTGTTATATAGAGGATGAATCCAGTTTTCCTGTAAGTGATGCAGGAAGAAATGCAACGTATCATTGGGACAAATTCTGAGTGATTTCTAATGACGTCAGAGTGATTTCAAATGAAAATCAGGTAAATTTCTCACAAGTTTGTGACAGTCTCTACCACTTGTGATGTAATAGTTGCGATCATAAATATTATGAAGAATCTAAGCTGTCTGTGTTTACTGAACTTATTTAATGACGCGTAGGAAGCCAAGCCAATCCACGGAACCCAAAAGACATGCCAGAACTTCCCCACATGGACTTTGGTCCAAGTGTTATGGTGGCTCAATGCTCTGGGCAGGTGGTCATAATATTATGGCTGCTTAAATGGCTTTCAAAGTCCATACAGTAGGTGATCTTTCAGTAATTATAGCCTCTGACCCTTTTGACAAGCTTTATTATCGGTAGCAAACACTTAAACCTGTGTCCGTCCGTACCTCCTCCCCACCGTAGGCACCGCGCCAGGTCGTTGCCCGTACCGAGAGGAAGGATGCACACAGGAGGGTTCCTGTCCAGGTTGGCTTTATCTAAAACAGGGACACAAACATCACAACAAAATGTAAAAGAAAACCAAAACCAAGAGGAAAAGATCGCAGCTGAAAAATCTTGCAAACAACGCTTCAAATCCATTTTGCATCCTTGTAAAACAAAGACAGTATGAACTTCCTGTCGTACAGTCCATTAAAAGAAAAAACACATTTTGCCCGACGGTTATTACCTGCCTGTGTCTTGATTGATAAAAAATTGAGGCAATTTTTGAGAGTCCAAACAAGTAACACATCTTCACAGCCAATCAGAGGCGGCCAGGTGATTTTGTTTTCCTTTAAATGACGACTAATATGCTGTTTTCCCACTGGCGTAATCATCCCATTTGACTGACCTTCACTGGCCAGATGAAAGTCTTTATACACAACCGATAAATGATGCTTACGGCTGCAGGATGAACAGTAAGAACGATGGAGACTTTGGAAATGGATAAAAACTAAATTTTGCCTAAAAAGTAAACAGGACATATTTATGACAAATGTCAGCATGGTAGCTTTAGACATTTGATGCCGTGGAAGAAAAATAAATTATTTTTGTAGCATCATAGGAAAAAAAAGAAGTTATATTTGTACCTATAAAGTCCAGAATCCAGCCCACGGTACCGTCCCCCCCACAGGCCAACACTCTGGCGTCAGGAACCTCTCTGAAGAAATTCAACCTGCAACCAAAACACTTTTGCTTTTACAAATACTTACAAAACAATGAGTCTTCTATTTAAAAGTGAAATATTTCAAATGCTAATTTATGAAAAAAGTCAAAGTTTCACTAAAGTATCCCAGTTTTTATTGGGATTTTATAACATGTGGCATTAATAGGTTTCTGGGGCTCACTGCTCCGCTGCAAACTGCCTCTAATCCCACAAAATAACCCATGCCACATTGATATTATTCATTCAGTGAGGTAGCCTGCCTGTTCGAGGACTAATTGGATCATGACAGGCAATGTTCAGTCCAACTTCTTCCGTTCCTTCACAATAACAAAGCCCTAACTGAATGAGCCAGCCTCCCGGCTTTGTATGGCGGGTAAATGATTCGCTCAATTACTCTCCAACTGGGGCTACAAACCACATTACGCACAAAACAGACGACCGCAGACATGAAAGGCAACTTTGGGGATATTTAAATACCAAGAAACAAACACTTAATTTGCTGTAATTGTGTTAGCAAGGCAGCTAATTTGACAGCGGTGTGTGCGGCGGCATCGGCCCCACCGTGTCCGATGGTGACCGCTCGCCCTGCTAATGTGTGCTGCGGTGAGGAGACTTAACAAAATATTAACAAGGTAAAAGCTGAGCAAGGTCATCTGGAATTTTGTCAGCAAAGCGGGGGTGGGCTGGGAGGCTCTGGATTCAGTTGCAGGCGTGGCAGGTGACGCTTCAACCCATACTGGGTCGGCAGAAAGGTCACGTCTGGCGAACTATTCTGAAAACATATCAACATTTTCTAAATGAAGTTTAAAATTTCTAGATAGAAGATGAAATGTTGGCTATTATGTTAGCAGCTGACTGTTGCCGACTGATTATTATTTTTTATTTATTAACATTAATTGAATGGCGGTTTCTAGGTTTGCTTTTACACAGTAAAATATGAATAATGAGACATTTTATAGAAACGGAACTTAATGGCTACTTCCAGAGAGGAACTCAGAACTTTTTAAATCCATGCATAATAGCTTGCATGACTACAAATATAATAGACAAACCCTCTGCGCCGCCACCCGTAGGTTTCTAAAGAGCTGAACTGGAGCACCCACCACCGCCATCTTTGCCAGTGTCTCCTCACTTCCAGAAAAAACAAAAATTGAGCTGACAGCAGGGCTTTGAGAGTAGAGGCAGATGAGTGACACCCATCAAACTCTGAGCCGATGAAGCTACAAGCTAACTGAGCTAACCAAAGCTAACAGAAGTGCCTGTAGCCTTCCACCATGATTAAGCCACTCCCTCTTTAATGTGAGACCGAGGCTGAGGCCTTCACTGGAAACAAGCAGGAGGTAAGTCACTAGCACTAGTGCTAATCTCCTACCTGTTAATCAAAAGGACACGTCCCTAATTGTTCATAATTTCAGGCTTTATTACACCTAAAGAAATGAAAAAATGCACTACCCTTAATAGTTTTGTGGGGAAATGCTGTAAACGTGTTTATTTCTGCTGTGAAGTTTGCATTTTTAACATGGGAGTCGATAGCCTCGTTTACATGCGCACATTTAATCGGATTGAACACCCAATCAGATCAAAAATCCTGCATGTAAACATGTCAATCGCAATATTCTGATCCAATTCGGCCCGATCGGGATACAATTTCAATCCGATTGAGAGAGGTGGTTTGTCCGATCATCGTTAGGACTGACGTGCATGTACACAGCCATTGGGATTGTTGGAGTAAAATAATGCCCACTGCGCATGTGTGCAACAGCTAGCAAGCCCCCCACTGTCATTTAGACTACCTGATTTAAAAAATGGCAGCCTAATTAACAAGCGCTGGCTTTTAAATTGAATGGCAAGCCGTCCTCGTTTCTGTAATATCTAGTACAGAAATTGCATTTTGTGGAAGTAAAATACAAATCTGATTATTGCACAAATAATTAGACAAACGTGTTCAAGTCTGTTTCTGTGACCGCGGCAGCAGTTTCTGCAGCAGGTGGATGGAGACGTGCTCGTATAGAAGACAGGGTTACATCGGCTAGACAGGCCTGGTTTGAGTTTAAGGAGGCTGATGTTGAGTAGAAAGCGTCTTCAGTTAAATATTCTAGCTGACTATTTGTACAAAAGCACGCTAACGCAGATGAGATGCGGTTCGTTTATTAACACATGATGAACACAGGCTTCCAAACTTTCTTAACATCTCCTGTTATTTAGTTTGAACCAAATTTTCTCAACAGTGTCAGCTGATTGTTACATTTTATTAATAATAAGCTACAACAGAGCTTAGTAATAAAACATGAATCTGAACAACCCCCCCCCACCCCCCCCCCCACCCCCCCCCCAACCCCCACTACGCAGCACGGCGCACAGCCGTCACGTCATAGCCGCGGACCAGCTGATCAAGAGGCGGACAAGGATAACCCTCCCTTATTTTAATATTGTCAACAATAAAATTTAGCAAAGCACATATCTGCAGTTATCCACTGAAGAAAATGTAACTTCTACGAGCAACAAGAAAAACATTAAATTGATTAAATGAATCAGGAAAGCAGGAAGAATTTTATTTTTTCTGTTTTTACATTTTTCATTGTGTTTCATGATGTTTGTTTACAATTTTCTTTTCCGGGAAAGAAAACTCTGCGCATGCTCAACCTGTTTAATCTGACTGAATATTTGGTGCATGTAAATTCATGGCATGATCGAATCGTTTCAGTTGGTGTTCATGTAAACGGAGATTCGGGATTTCCGATCAACCAATATTTGAATCGGATTGGGGAAATTTGGCGCATGTAAACGTGGCTAATGGGAACGCTCCTTTTTGGAGACAGCCCCTAGTGGATGAGGGGGGAACTGCAGTTTTTGTCACTTCTGTGGCTTCAATTTTAGGAGGTGGAGGTTCCCCTTCACATGCACCTCACAACATCTGAAGAGTATAAAAATGTTGCATTAATACTGTTGTCTGTTGGAGTTTTCACAGACTTTTAATACTAATAAGTTATTTGTTCCAGATGTTTTTAGTGTGTATGTTTGAGACTTTTATTGTGAAGGGTTAAATACCTGCTGTGTTATTATTTCATTCATTATTTTTACCTAGAAATTGTTTTTTTAATCATTTTCTCAAAAATTCTGTTTTATTCTGAAAATATGTATTCTTTTTTAACTTCATTCTTGACGATAACTGCTTTTTAAAATTATTTTTGATACCTCACACCCTGTGCTTTTTTATCCATGTGTGCAGCTGTTTATTTATATATTTATATTTATTTAGTCACAAAGCAGCAGGTTTTCAGAGATAATCAAAGCCAAACAACATGGCAGCACGACACCGAGGAATTCCTGGATGCAAACAGTAAAGTGAAGGAGCCTTATGCATGTAGATCATCTGTTCATTGTCCTAATCAGAAAGATGACCCATTGCTGACCCGATGATGCCCACACACCATGGCTGCTAGTCCGTGTGCGTGATCACATGTGGTCTGGTGAGATTTCCACCCCCCTCTGTCCGTCAGTGGTTTGTGTCACAGGCTCTCCCTTCAGCTTTTTGCTTATGGAGCCACACCGCGTTTGAGGCTCCTGCATGATTCTGTCGTCTCCAGGATTTGTTATATGTGAACTCACCTCATTTGTGTTTGTAATGTGTGTGGGAGCGGGCAGGAGAGGCTTTAATACTAAAGGCCTCCCTTGCATGTGATGGTGGTCATTATATGTGAGCGACGACAGGGAGCAACGCTGTGATGGTAAACAGAAGCTCATCAGTTGGAAGCCAGCAAAACAAAGGAAAGTACTATCTGCTGCTTTTTAGTGACCGTGTTTACAAAAGAATAACATAAAATAGATGCATATAGTTATTGAGTTAGCAGGGAATGTTAAATTACAATTATCTATCAGAATGATTGTTTTATGAAGTAAAATCAGTACTAAGTTTAAAAGGACATTTTTATGAATATCAAATAACAAAACAATTTTTTGGACAATTAAATCTGAAAACTGTACATTTTTGCACTAAAACTGTCTAATAAACCTCAAATTGGCTTATTTAAATTCACATTATACATTTATTTAGCAGTTTTGCTTGATTTAATAAAACTAAAGTGGGCTTAAGTCAAGATATATGAGATATTTAAATGAAAAATACAACAAATATCATCTAAAGTGGGGAGTTTTTGTAATTAACTATGTAAAAGTTGATATAATTTCTCAGTTTGAAAGTAAATTTTACATTTTGAAAATGTTTTGCTCAGAATAAAACTTTAACTACGTAAAATGAACCTTAAAGTTCTTGAGGAATAAATGTCTGTTCGTCTGAAAATAAGAAATTCATGGCAACCCTAAAACCTTACTAATTTTGGTCTTGTTGACTTTTAAAAAGCACGTGAAGCAAAAATGATGTCAAATGTGGGTACTGCAGTCCATGATTCAAAACAAATGAGTAACTCTCCCCATCCCATTCCTGAGTTTCGTGGCTGTTGCCAGTTACTGATCAGCACAATTCTAGATAGCAAGCAAAGACAAGTCAGACACAGTTAGTTGATAAGCAGATAAATGCTTAAAAGCTTAATATATTTTTAAAGATGTCTATTTGTTTCTAATTCACCGTTAGCATTGTTAGCTCAATGTTAGCCTCTAGTCTTCTTTACCCGATATTACAGTAAAACAAAAGATGCCTTGGTTTCTTGGAGTTACAAGGAATAACTTCTGGGTCGCTCCTATTATTAGCTAACATTCTGTCCACAACTGGAACTGTTTGCCGCCGAATTACAAGTGCCGACTATAGCATTAGCGGGCGCAGACTCGGCAACCCCGCGGGCTCACAGGTTGTAAACAAAAACTAAATCCCTCTTCAGTTTTTAAAGAAGAAAAACTGACAACCCAGCTAGCTGAAAAGAAAATTGATTCATTCCAACATGATAGAGACATTACTGCTTTGTGATTATTTCACTCTAACGTATACCTTTAAACATGTAAAAAACACAATTCCAATTCCATAAATCATGTTTAAAAAACAAAAGAAACAACCTCTATGAGTGTTAAACAGCTACGTTTTTGTGTTTGGTTACACACCCCGGCATGGGTCCATTCTTCGCCAGGTTGTAGACTTGCCTCGGGTTCAGGAGATACTGGAACTTTCTGTAGATCCTAAAAAAAATAAACAAATACATAAAAAAGAACGTAGACAGTGAAACTATAGCTTGTAGCATTAAACTGAATCAAGTGTGAGACTTCAAACTCTCAGGTTAAGTGAATGGAGGGGTTACGGATTGATGGAGCACTGGACAGCGGGGCGGGACAAACCCAAAGCCCCCTTGAGGAAAAACCATTAGAAAGACTAATTCATTTTAATTTCAATTTCATTATATCAACTGGCTGAAGTCAGATTTTGATCTCATAATTTAAGCAAATGAGGGCCAGAATAATAAGTAGTGAATGAATATGTTTCAGTAATAACCCAGTTAGCCCCGGGTTAAAGACGAGGGGCCGGGCCCTTACAGGAAGAGAAGAGAGGACAGCGGAGGGGCGGCCGGCGCTTTAGGTAAACGTTATGTTGTATTTATTTGACTAAGCCAGAAGCTGTTGTGAGTCAGTGGCCATGCTGCATCCATCCCCCCGTAGCTGAGCAGTGGGCCTTTAGAGGCTCATGTAGCATGTTGAGACAGGCTGTGTACTTACCTCTCCCCCTGCTTGCCCCCGCTCTTCGGATTGACGAACACTAGCAGAGGATGAGTGCCCTCTATTGTTGTGATCTGTGTGGAAGATGTCAAAACAAAGCCTTGGTGTTTGGAGACTGCAGGTTGCTTCACAGGAATTCACTTTCAAGCCATATTCCTCAGACATTTTATCACGTAGATAAGGCACTTCCAAGCAGCGGCTGCCATCTGCACACATTTCCTGTTAGCTGGCCGAGGAAAAGGGGCGAGCGATCTGCTTTCTTTCACTGAGTAAAAACTTTTCTCTTGATTTTCTGATTCGCCTTTGAAGTGGATTAAAAAGAAGACGGAACTGATGCTGGTTGGTCTGCAGCAGCGGGACAGTTTATGCGGAATTGCATGAGTGAAAGGATAAACTGGTTACAAAAATGACAATAATATAGATAAAGGCTGGGTAATATTGATGGACGTAATATAACAAAATAGTGCAGTCATTAGCGGACTTAAACAGCGGGAGGAGGTTGGGATGTTGGATGCAAAATGAAAAGAGGAAAACATGGGTTTATTGTAAATAATGTAGTTTAACGGGACATTTAAAAACTAAAGGGTTTATTCTTATAAACTAATAAAAAATTTCACTATTTAAAAATGGACATTTTGGAAAAAATAATCAAACCCTTTCAAATCTAAAACTCCAAAATAAACTAAATACTTTCCTGGTAATATATATTTATTATTATTATTATTATTATTATTATTATTATTATTATTATTATTATTATTATTATTATTAGTGTAGTGGCATGAATGTCCTGTTTTTGATCTAAAGGTCATAATCTGCTGCGTCTGCTCGAGCAGAGACATAAAGTCTCTGACAGGCTAATCTACATGAGATAGTGGCCAAGGTCTTTCATGCACTCTGCCCATCTGAACTGCTTCACCTTTGTTACCAAGACAAAGACAAAGAACTATTTTGATAAATACATAATCAACAACTTTGTTATTACCAATAATAATGTGAGCCCAATGTTCAATCAATCTGTGAAATGACAATGTTATTACTTGATATTATAATCCTGTGATCAGTAGTATTTTACAAGTAATTATAATCTTGGGCATTTGCACTAGACTCTAATGACACTCAGTGCTAAAGTCACACGACACATTTCCTTTTGTCTGATCCAATCAGAACCTTCGTTTCTGGCTAGGCGTGGTTATCTATGATGTTTGTATAAACCGTCTTTTGCATGTCAAATTCTGATTCGCCAGTAAACCAAAAATGACAATTATAAAAACTATCCCATGCCACCTTTCCTTAGTTCAAGCATTCTAGAGAATTCTCGGACAGGCCATCCAGACTTCCTCTTCAGCCAAAAGAACCTCGACAAGCTGGATAAAATCTGTTGCAAGTTACACCTGACCGCAACGGTTCCTTCAGAATAAAAGCTGAACCTCACGACCCCTTCAGGGTCTCGGAGATGCCAGTGATAACCTGTCGTGACCTGGAAGCATTCCAAGACTAGTTTGGTCGGGACCACTGCTTTTCTATCGGCTTCGGTACCAAGGAGGGTCCTTGAGGACTTCAGCATTCTGGATCTAACGGAGGCTTTCCCTGGGTACGTAGACCGACAGATGGTAGTTCATGTGTGTTATAAACCTACTAAAGTTTAGAGCGAAACATTCACTCCCACTCAGAACTAACTGCTTCTCCGGATCCGCTGGTTCTGAATGACATTCCACACACACACACCATCATCATTCATCACGTCTCACTCCACCTTAGTCCATCAGTACACAGAGTGTTTAAGTTAGTCTTGTTTAAATTGTGTAGAAATACATTTCTTAACTATTTTAAACCTGACTCTCTCTCTTTCCTTGGCGTTAATATGAAGTGTTGCTTAATCCCTGCAATAAAAAATTCTGATCTTCTGGTTAAAATAGTCAAAGATCCATCAACTTGATATATCATATTTCTTTGGAATCTCACATTTTATGGTTCAGAAGTAAGATTATTAGAAATAATAATAATGATATAATAATAATAATAATAATAATAATTATTATTATTATTATTATTATTATTATTATTATTATTATTATTATTATTATTAAGGGCTGGTCAGTAATACAGTTGCTTTGTGTCAAGAAGGTTGCAGGTTCAACAACCGGCTGCAGCCTCAGCATGGATAAAGCAAAGCTAACGATTACTGTTAACCTTCTTCAGGTGCAGAAAAATACAATTAAACGGATGGAAGGGTCAAAGGTCATAATGCATGTTTTTCTCTGCTTCCTGATTGGTGGGTATTTTGTGAATTTTCCATTTGTCTGACCTCAAGCTGAAACGGGTTTTGTCTGAGGTGCCGGAGGCCGGAGCTTGTGTGGTACCACTTCCAGGATCTGAGATTCAGCGGCTGTTTGGACCGTCCTGCCAGCGGTCGGTCAGTCACAACTCTCCCCCTGCTCTCCCTGACACAGATGAAGCACTTAACTCGCCCTGTCTGCTATCCCAGCAGGCCGAGGGTGAATTAATGAGCTCCCTGTCCACTCCAGAGTGATCCATTACTTCCTGTAATTATAAATAATAATCTTGATTATTATGCTGGTTAGCCAGCGAGAGGCAGAGATGGATTTGCCCGGGATATGATTCATCATTTTTGTCTCTCAGCTGCTAACAGTTGAGCAGTCGCCTCAGAAGGCAGCAGGTTTCCATCGGCTGCGTGCTGGCAGCCTGATGCAGGAGAGGATCTGGCCCAACCCAGCTCTGCTGGGGGGTTCTGATTACCAGCAGGACTGGAAAAGTCCCATCAGGCCTCCAGCTATACAGACACATTTTAAATCTTAATTAGTCAACAATAAAGAAGTTCTGTTAGAGTTACGCTCGATGCACAAGCAGCTACAAAAGTCCAATGAAACTCCAAAATGCTCCAACAACAACAGGTGTTGATCTAAACTCTGCTTTCATTGTTTAAGGGTGAACTCAGTAAAGTTTTGTTTACTCATTTTAAAAATTACTATTTTCTTTTACAGTAAATTTAAAAAACAAGCAAGAAAAACATGTAAAGCAGGAATTTCTCAGGAAATTAAAACAACAGAAACTTAAATGTGTTCTTATGGTATGGACAGGGTGGATTTGATATGGGGTTTTATTCAGTAAGAGCGAAACGCTTAAAAACATCTGTTTAACCTGCAGTCCTTGGCCATCCACCGTGACGGAGTTGGCTCTCTGCATCTTTCCCCGGCTCGACTGACTTGAGCGCGAGTCTTTCCTCAGCGTCGACTGTCTTTCCTGAGGTCGAAGATCCAAATTCAAGTTTGAATCCAGAAAGCATCAAAACAAAAACGTAGATGTAAACAGGGAAAAACAAAAGTCTTTAGTAAAGGTCAGACTCTGTTGTTTTCTATAGCCTGGCAGTCAGCAGCTATGATTGACTGACGAAGATATCCGGCTCTTATTTTGTTCATCTTCAATGTCATTTTTCTCCAAGCAGCATGAAAAAAGTTCAAGAATAAATTGTCAATTGTTTATGTCATCATTTGTTTCCTTATTCAAATCAAAACGCTGCACTTTCTGAACTCCGGGGGGTGTTCTGTTAAGAAATTCAACTTTTAAATTGTAACTGAATGTAAAGGTATGAAAAATAAAACATCCACTGCATTTTAAGACATCTACTCCTTACATGTTTGCGCTGCGTCTTTGTGCGTGAAAGGCTTTGAGGCGATCCTCGAGCCCACTTTTACCTTTTGCTCAATTTTGGAAGTAAATTTCGGAAACAAAGAAATTGCTGCTGTTGCAGAGCGCAGTAGGAGGACACGAGCTGATGATTGGATCCCTCAGGTACCAAACGAGGTCAGGTTCACTCCGCTGACCGGAGAAAGGTAAAGTCTTACCAGGACGACGGGGCAGATGGAGTTGGGGGGCAGGATGTGATCCTTCAGGGGTCCACAATCACACTCGGGCTTCACGTGGGAGGCACACTTGTTATGGAGCTGGAGGAGGTGGCAACTATTATTAACAGTCAGCTAGCGGTAACAGAAATAAATGTTTCTGGGGTATTTTCAGAATTTATTTGCAATGCACATGTCAATGCCTCCGCTTTATTTTCTATTAACTCGCAACAGCAAACAAGTGTTTTCTGAGTGTAAATTGGAGCGATGACTGGTGAGGTATCAGAGGTGCAAAAACTGAAGCCTAAACAACACCAAGCAGTGGGAGGATAATGAGGAGTTGGCTGCCTCTCCGCGGGAGGCGGCTTACCGTGATTTGACACCACACACAGTGGAGGCCAGTCAGGCCCTGGTAACACTTAATGGTTTTGTGACACTTGTCACACTTGGTGGGGCAGTTCCCCTCCACCCAGAAATGATGCATGACCTGCAGAGAGGAGGAGAGACGACACGCTGGGAGGAAAGGCAGCGAGTAAAGAAAACACGGTGCAGAAAAACAAGATCTATCCAAAGGTGCAAGTGACACAACAATTAAAGAAAGCAAGCAAGTGGGAACTAACAAAAAAAAAGTGAGGAAGAAAAAGTAAAGAGGCCTGACAAATGATTGTGTCTTTAACTGGGATTATTCTGGTAATAAGTCATGCTGCAGTGAACCGAGTTCATTCAGACAAGCTCTGAGCGTCGCTGATCCAAACCCCTCAGATGGACTCACCTCTGTGTTCTTCTTGGATTTAACGTAAGTTTTGATGCAAGAAAGTGGAGCGCGGGCCACACAGCGCTCGTGGACTGTGTACTTACAGACTGGGACAGAGGGAGAAACAAAAGATAAAAATAAGGCAAACTTTATAACATTGCAGTTATGGTGATTCAGTTATTTGCAATGATGACTCACATGAGCAGCAGAGGCCCTGCTTCCCCAGTCCAATCAGCATGTTGAGACACAGGTTACAGTAGGCTGGCTTGTTGAAGTGCTTCAGTCTCCACACATGCTGACCGTCGTCTTTGACATTCTGCAGAGACAAGAAAGGATCAGGTGACTTCAGTGATTTAGTTCACCAACATCTACGGGAAAATTACATTTTTTAAAGGAAATCTACTTGTGAGTGGAAGAGATTTTCATAAAAATCTTTTCAAATGCTGCCACCTAGTGGTTCTTATATGAACTGACAATAATTTGGAAGGATTGTGAAACATTTGAATCAGAAACTCTTTTTGAAAAAAAAAACTGAAAATTTTTTACAAACAAAAACAACAAAATAGATTTTCAAGAATTTCAAAAGATCTTTCATTCATTTGTCTTTGGATCACAGTTTTCTGACCAGTAGGAGTGAAAAGTGCAATAATTAACAGCTAGTCAATCATTAGAGATGAGACATAAACGCGTTGCAGCATCAGCTGAATCCCCCTCCTGGAGTCATCTGAGATGACGGTAAATAAAGATTAAAGGGGAAACTGATAAAGTAAATTTACACCTGCAGGAAGTGACGGAAGAAACGTGCAAGTTTTGGATAAAGTAATGAAACAATCATTGTGCAGATTAATTTTAACTGAGATGGTTTAATATTGTGCTGCAATGCAAACAGCGTCACAAAAAACAAACTCATTATTATTGTACTGTAGTTTTGGTAGCATGACACTTTTGCTATTGTTTCGTACATCTGTGCGACTTTTTCACTCATAGCATTCAGCAAGAGTACGATATCCTCGCAGAGCAAAGCCCACGAGTCATGCTCGCATAATGCTCGGATGTGACACAACTGCTAACCTTGTACGTTTAGCAACAAATCGGACCTAAGAATAAGATGCAAATAGTAGGTTTAACAAAACATCTAGGACCTTTGAGGTGAATTGAGCTAGTTCTTCACCATGACAGACCGCTACAATGCTCGCATCACTGCAGATGCAGCACCAATCCACCTAGCAAGCTTTCCCTCACTCGTGAACAAGACCTCAAGAGACTTAAGCTCCTCCACTTGAGGCAGGACTTCATCCCTGACCTGGAGAAGGCATTCTAACCTTTTCTCAAGACCATGGTCTTGGATTTAGAAGAGCTGAATCTCATCCCAGCTGCTTCCCACTCAGTTGCAAACCGCTCGATTGAGAGCATGAAGATCATGTTATGATGAAGTCAACAGGACCGTATCATCTGCAAAAAGAAGACCTGATCCTTCGGCCGCCAAAACATGTTTGGGTAACAAGCCAGAGGTCCTAGCTGGGTGGAGTTAGAGTAACCTCATCATTTGGTGGATGTAACCACGCTTCTAGTGCAGCTACTCATTAGAGCTTAACCGATATTGTTTTTTTTATTACTGATGCCGACATGTAGGAAACAAGGTGTACAGCCGATTTTTATAGGCCATTTTTAATGGCGGATATCTAAACATTTTCCACCTTATTTTCATGCTAAATGTCACTAATAACAACAGCTGATGCACAAACTTTCTGGTACTGAATCAGTTTTGAACTCTGAATTTAAATAACTGTTAAATCTGAACTTTGTGCACTGCTCAGTGTTAAAGTCAGACATCTAAATAAAGTTAAATTAGAGTATTTATTATGCAGATGTTATTAGTGAACGTCATCGGGCTGCCGGAGGATGTGCCTGACTAAGCTTTACTAAGGACAAATATTGGCCAAGGTATGAAAACAGTAAATGTTGGCCCGATGTTTAAGTCGACCTCTACTACTCATGTCTGTGTTCATGAGTTTATTTGTATAAATGTAATAATAAATAAAAGCCATATTTTCTGCAGTGGGTTTTCCCCTGCAGCTAAAAAGACTTTGGATGTATTTTGTCCATTTGAGAGCTTTAATTGTTGGTTTCCTGATCAGATCTCGTACTGCTTTTTCTTACAACACTTTGCACTGAACTAGTCTCTTCTCTTGTTCAAACCCGTTTCACTTGTTCTCATATTGACTATTCTCCTTTCTATAAAACAAGTCTTTGAATCACGTAAAACTGCCAAGTCTCCCAGGAAACAATTCTGCTGCATCTTTTCTTGAGACTTTATATCCAAACTCTTCCTTTTTAATCATCTCAAAATAATTCTGTAATCTAGATATAAAATGTTACCTGTAGTAATCTAATGAAGTAAAAGTACATCAAGTATGGAGGTTGACGTCTGTGTCAGTAACGGTGTAAACACATTTAATAAGCCTAAGTCCTCCCATCAGTGCGTTGCAGATGGAGTGATTTCCTTGTTTCAGGTTTCAGGAGGAACGCAGGTCATGTGACGTTATTTATTTTGGTGGCGGAGCAGGTCCAGGTGTTTCATGAAGCATTGTTTTTAGTTTATCAGTCAGTCGGGCCTCCATTCCTGCAGAAGACTGCAAAGGTTGAACTCGGCAAAGTTATTCTGTACGTAAATAAAATAAATACACACAACACACACAAACACACTCAAAATGGCAACAAGAGAAAAAAGAAGCACATCTCATTTGCGCAGAAGAGATTGGAGCTCATGTGCATGTTTGTTTTATGCTGGTTCTCCAACAGCGGGAAGCTGTAGCTACATTGTAGCTCATTCTCACCAACGTGTGAATGTGTGTGTGTGCGTGCGTGCGTGTGTGTGTGTGTGAATGAGTGAATGACTGTGTGACGAGCGCCTTGGAGGATTGTAGAACCCTAAGGCGTTATACAAATACAGGTCATTTAGCATTTATCTGATGAGTTCAGCTTTGGTAACAGCTGGATGTCTTGTGACTGTCTCCAGGTGGATGTGTGGTGAAGTAGTTAAATTTCAAATAGCTAAAGATTGTATTTTTATTTTTGGCATGTATTTCCATTGGGGGGGCTGCGCAGTGGCGCAGTGGTTAGAGCTGTTGCCTTGCAGCAAGAAGGTCCTGGGTTCGCTTCCCGGCCTGGGATCTTCCTGCATGGAGTTTTCATGTTCTCCCTGTGCATACGTGGGTTCTCTCCGGGTACTCCGGCTTCCTCCCACAGTCCAAAAACATGACTGTTAGGTTAATTGGTGTGTGTGTGTGTGTGTGTGTGTGTGTGTGTGTGTGTGTGTGATTGTTTGTCATGTGTGTCTCTGTGTTGCCCTGCGATGGACTGGCTCTATGTCCAGGGTGTACCCTGCCTGATTGCCCATTGACTGCCGGAGGTAGGCACCAGCCCGCCCCCACCCCACTCCCCCCCCCGGCAACCCCACGTGGACAAGCGGGTCAGGAAATGGATGGATGGATTTCCATTGGGCTCAAAATTTGAAAAAGGATGAATAACTGAGAAAGTATAAAATATTTTATTAACCAAAGTCAGACCCATCGGTGTTGTTGACGAAATATTTTCGTTTTCTTCTTTTTTGTGACAAATGAATTTTTGTGAACAAAAACAAAATGAAAAGAAATTTGTTGTTGTTAAATTAGTAAATTTGTGTAAAGACTAAATTATGATGAATATTGATCAACATTTTCATTGACGACTAAAAGAAGACAACAAATTTCGTCCAGAACTATGGGTAACCACAGACAGATCAGACAGGAAGCCCAAAAAGACCTGTTCTGGTGATATCTCCAGCTCCTTCTGGAGCTAAAAACCTGCTTCCAGCATCACATCCTTTCAGTCTCCATTTAAATGTCATGACCTGAGATTTGGAAGGTTAACAGGCCAACAAATCAAAAGCTTTGCCTTTCAACTCAGCGTCTTCATCACTTCAGGTTTAGTCCAAACTCAAAAGTTCATCTCTCAATTCCTGCAGCGATTAACCAAACACGGCAGAGACTTGAACTTTCTTCTGATGAAAACATTTTACAAAGTGCTGAAGTGCCTTTAACTTATTTTTTTACTTGTTGGTGATTAGTTTCAGTAATGTCAGCTATTCGTGGACTCACCGTCTCCAGACCCAACAGAACCAGCAGGGGGATGGTGGTCAGTCCTCCCTGGATCCACTCATCCAGGGACACTGTGCCGTCGCGATCGTAGTCGATTTCCTGCATCATTTCCTGAAGGATCTACCGTTCAAATAAGAACCGATTATAAACCAAAAAGCTTCAGTCAGATTTGAACGTATTGTGTATTAATTATAGATATGTTTCTACCCCTCAGCCACGATCAGGGACAAAACTACATTGTAAAATATATCTTTTATGGCAGTTTCCTGGAGCACACATGGAGGTTTCTTCCTGTTAAAGGGGAGATTTCCTCTCCACTGCACATGCTTGCTTAGTGTGAGGGTTGCTGTAAAGTCTCTGACACAAGCCAGTGACTTCCTTAGATAAGAAACATTGAACTAATTGGCATAATCTGAACTCAGTGCACTGTTAAACTGGCTCAACTGGAATGTCTGCTTTGTAAAATGCCTTGAAATGACTCTTGTTGTGAACTGGGACTAAATAAATGAATAAACTTGAATTGTTACATAAAATGTGCTCCAACAAAAGCGGTGAATAGGAAACAAAGTCCACAGTGATGCACGAGGATTGAAACGATCACATTCAGGTGACGGAAGATTTGATTTCATGCTATTTTTGTAGCTTGTGTGTCCGTGAAACCCTCACTGGTTTGAGTTCAGTCACGTCCCATTCCAGGTACTCCGCCACACGCATCATCTGAGAGATAATTTGTTCCAGCTCCTGCAGTAAAAAACACAGACAGTCATTAACAGGCACAAAAACACTGTATTTACCTTTTTATGGGGAGCAAACCGACTGATCAGCAGCCAGTAATAGCAGGTTGGGAACGTGAGCAGCAGAGGGAAACAAAGGCAACGTGGGACTTGTTCCCAGCCTGATGGCTTAATTACAATGGTTGCTGTTCAGGGGCAGAGAGGAGCCACATTTTTATCTGGTGGCAGACTGAATTATGATGCACTTTTAAAATCACATCTAAGATTCTGGTTAAAAAAGTGCCCCATTGATACTTTTTCTGTTCTGTTTTTAATGGTTAAGGAATGATTAGCAATAATCAGAAAGCCCATCTGTCTCTCTCGCTCTGATTTAGCCTTTAATTGCAGCCCTCCGCCCTGTCGTACATCATAACACCTACACACGAGTGTTTTTCATTCATAAACAGGTTCACGCCTTACATGATCTGCTTGTTTTTTAGTCATGTGCTGTACTATGCTCTCTGTTTACTATGAATGTCAGACTACAGCATGCAGGGCTGAATCCCTAAAGGTTTTCCTGAAGGGACTGGAAACTCAAAACAACAAAATAAGAAAACTGGAATCGGCATTTTACTCCTCAAAATGACTAATAATGCATTTTCTCAGAAAGAAATTGCTGCAATTCTGAACCCTCATAGAAGCAGCATGTGCTTTGTGCAACCATTATGTCTTTATTATTATTATTATTGTCTGATATGGTCATATTTTACTGTAAACAAACTGGTTTGGTAATTGTTGGTGTTAATCTGTTTTTCTCAGGCAAAGCAGGAGCAGCAAACCTGAATATCTGCAAGTTTTACTGTGGAAATTTAATCCAGGTTAACATATTTTGTACAATCCAGGGAAACTAGCATTTTTCAAGTACGCCAATAAATTTTTTTTTCTCTTCGTTGAATTGGAAACTCTGGAACAAGAATTGTGAATAGAAGTGAACGCTTGTGCAAATAATGCCACATATCTTACACAATGATTATTTTATTCTGAAAAAGAAAACAAAACCTATTGTCAAAAATCATATTTTGCATGGTGTAATCTTAACAAGGTTCTAAGTAGCGCCTCAATGTGCAACAAGACACAACAGGAGTAAAACAAAACATTTTCTGAGCAGCACTTTAACTTTGGGCCTGTCGATGCCCCTGCACCTCCTGAAGCTCCATTATTTCACTGAAGGAAAAAGCACCCTAGCCCATTATGGCGCCACCTCCACTGTGGTCGAGTAGAAAACATCTTAAACTTAAAAAAAAACATTTGGCCATTTTTCAAGTGGTCTTAAACTTTTGATCAGGACTGAAGCAAAAATTCACAGCCCTGTATGCTTCAGGGAATAAAATAGAAAAACGACTTCAAAAAGATTATTTTCAATATAAATAGAACTAATAACCATCAGTAATAGAAATGAAAACTGCATTATCTTTTTTATTGGAAGTTTTGTGTTATGATGTAATGTGTTTATGAAAAATATCCATGTTTGTTGGAATTTCTTATGGTTTAGTGAGGATTTTTCTTTGTTTTATTTATTTCATTTAGGTTAGGAGAATATTTCAATGACAGCACAGAAATATCCTCTACTGAGGAACTGAATGGCAATTTAAAGAGTTAATTATTGTATTTATAGCAGTATTTGCTGGATCTCTCTTGAAATTTTTTTTTTACTTGGTAAAATATGGAATACAATTTTTTTAAATAATCAGATTTTTCCTCTGAAAATCATTAAAAAGCCTGAAAAAGGAAATAATAAATAAAGTTTTTAAAATGAAACAATTTTTGGTCCCTGTGGGGGACGCTCCAGGAGTATGGGGTGGGTGGCCTTTTGTTAAGGGCCATTCAGTCCCTTTACCAGAGGAGCGTGAGTTTGGTCCGCATAGCCGGTAGTAAGTCAGACCTGTTCCCGGTGAGGGTTGGACTCCGCCAGGGCTGCCCTTTGTCACCGGTTCTGTTCATTACCTTTATGGACAGAATTTCTAGGCGCAGCCGTGGTGTGGAGTGTGTCGAGTTTGGTGGCAGGAGAATCTCGTCTCTGCTTTTTGCGGATGATGTGGTCTTCCTAGCTTCATCCAGGTCTGACCTTCAGCTCTTGCTGGGTAGGTTCGTGGCCGAGTGTGAAGCGGCTGGGATGAGGATCAGCACCTCCAAATCTGAGACCATGGTTCTCGACCGGAAAAGGGTGGCTTGCCAACTCCTGGTCGGGAGAGAGGTCCTACCTCAAGTGGAGGAGTTTAAGAATCTCGGGGTCTTGTTCACGAGTGAGGGTAGGAGGGATCAGGAGATGGACAGGCGGATTGGTTCGGCGTCTGCAGTGATGCGGACGCTGAGCCGATCTGTCGTGGTGAAGAGGGAGCTGAGCCAGAAAGTCAGGCTCTCGATTTACCGGTCGATCTACGTCCCAATCCTCACCTATGGTCATGAGCTTTGGGTAATGACCGAAAGAACGAGATCGCAGATATAAGCGGCCGAAATGAGTTTCCTTCGTAGGGTGGCCGGTCTCAGCCTTAGAGATAGGGTGAGGAGCTCGGACATTCGGGGAGGTCCCTGGGGAGGTGTTTCGGGCATGTCCTGCCGGCAGGAGGCCCCCAGGTCGACCCAGGACACGTTGGAGAGGTTACATCTCCAATCTGGTCCGGGAACGCCTTGGGGTCTTGCCGGAGGAGCTGGTGGAGAAGGCCGGGGAGAGGACGGTCTGGAGCTCCCTAGTTGGGATGCTGCCCCTGCGACCCGGACCCGGATAAGCGGAGGAAGACGAAGGCGACGACGACGATGTAATGTAGTGTTTATGAAAAATCTCCATGTTTGTTGGAATTTTTTTATGGTTTAGTGATGCTTTTTCTTTGTTTAGTTTATTTACTTCATTTAGGTCAGGAGAATATTTCAATGACAGCACAGAAATATCCTCCACTGAGGAACTGAATGGCAATTGAAAGAGTTAATTGTTGTATTTATAGCATTATTTGCCTGATCTCTCTTGAAAAATTGTTTTACTTGGTAAAATATGGAATACAATTTTTTTAAATAATCAGATTTTTCCTCTCTGAAAATCATTTAAACCCTGAAAAAGGAAATAATAAACAAAGTTTTTAAAATGAAACTATTTTTGATCTAATATTAACATAACCATTATATAATATTGTATTGTGTATAACAATAAAACAACGACAGTGATATAAAACTGGCGCGTGCCACATGTAAATCCACCACCAGGGGGCAGTTGGCATGCATAAATCTGGATATGGCCGGTTTAAGATGAAGGTACTAATCCTGATGCTTATTCAACAACAGAAATGGTTTGATGGGACCTGTAACGATAATCTAGAAGGAGTTCGGCAGAATATTTACCGAGCTGTCCAAAGACCCGTTTCCATCCGTGTCATAGAGGCGAAACATAACTGTGAGGAAAAAACAAAAACAAAATGTCAGCCAGTGACAGTGATGATCTAAACTCTACATCCGTCGACCTTTGAAGGAATCGTTAAAAGCATCAGAGCAGCTTCAGGAGACGCAGCAGCAGCGGGAATGTCACGATGCTCTCTGCTGTATGAAAACGGCCTAAAGAGAAAAATGCAAGCAGCTGTTAGCGTTTAAGTGCTCCCTCATTACCTCTCAAACCCATCGCCATGGAAACAGAGTGATCATCACTGCTTTGATCTGTTGTTTCTAGGCTTTTTACCTTATAATAAAATCTGAATGCGACCACATCACGTGAGTGCAGACGCCTAAATCTAGAGGAGCCATGACCCACCAGCGGGTCTGCGGCCCGTGCTCGGATCCTTCTCATCACGAGGTGCTGGCGTTAAAACACCGCAGGATATGTTGAGATAAGAATCTAAAACAGCAGAATCTATAAAAGATCATAATTTTACTAGTGGGTGGAGCTAAATTCTGTGGATAACAGATGAGAAACAGTTAAAACTCTAGCATTGTGAACATTTTCAGAAAATACATCATTGACAGTGTTTTAATAATTTATGTTAAATTCGAATTATGAAAATAAACCATTTAAATAAACTGTAATTTATTTAAATGTCAGTGTCTACACTGCTATATTGATGGTGTTAAAACGTGTTAACAGAAGAAATTCACTAAATATTTTACTGATAAACTGTAAATATCCTCTCTAGCTAACTTCATATAACAGTCAACGTATCCACCTTTTATTTTATTAATCTGTTCCTTTAATTTTGGTACTTTTATCATCAGCAGCTTTAAAGTAGTAAAAGTGTAACCACTTAATTTTTAAATATCTTCCACAGATTGTGCACATTTATTTTAACACTACCAATAAAACCAGGATGTTAAAGATAAAAGTCATAAATCCACTAATTCTATTTAAGTATTCACATTTTATGAAATAATTTTAGACATTTTCATTTTTTGTAGTTTAGATAAATTAAATGGAATGAATTGCACAATTTTTCTGAAAAGAAAAATAAAACAAAAGCATCTCAAAATAAAACAAACCTCCACTGAAAGTTAAATATGTGCAGTTCAGAAGTGTCATTTATCTTTTAAAAGTAAATTAGCCAGTTGGAGTGAATATTTGCATTTTGCAGTTCACACAGATTCTGTTAAAACCTCTAAAACAATTTGAAACAATGAAGAGAAACTCAGGAAAGAGCGGCTATGAAAGTCGTCTGCTAACCAGCAGAGGGCACTGTCTGCTGCATTCACAACACCACAGCTGATCTCAGAAGAGGCAAAGTGTTTCAGAAGACAGTAGTTAGGTCCATAATGTGTTCAGAAACACACGTGCAGAAAGAGTCTGTGAATTATTCAGAAATCTCTGTGCTTAACGATTTCTCCAATAAATAATTCAGATGAAAGAGGATTGGAGCGAGACAGAACAAAGACTGATGTGTCCAATTAAACAGTGCAACCGTGTGAATAAATGGTAGTATAGATGTAATTTAAAAAGTGGGTCAATAAGCTGCTGAACTGGAGCATCAAACAGTTGATGTCTGCAGGAGATTCAAAAAGAGACAGAAAGTGGAAAAAAACATGAAACAAATTTGTGTCTTAGAAACATTAGGTCTTTTGCAATAATAATAATAACAATAATAATAACAATTTTAAAAATCAGATCAAATCAGAGAACATGCTGAAAATCTGAAACTAATTGATCAAAAATATTTAAATTTAACAAATTCATATAAAAAAACTGTCTTGAGAGTCATAACAAGAACCAAAATGAACCGAGCACATCACTCCTGCTCATAAATCTCTACACTGGTTACCTGTAAACAACAGAATGCATTTCAAAGTGCTTCTACTAGTTTATAAATCACTCAGTGGCACAGGGCCCAAATACAGGTCAGACCTCTTTCCTGTACATACACCCTGTACGGCTCTGAGATCCTTAGGAAACAGTCAGCTAGAACCCCGGGTCAGAACCAAACAGAGTGAAGCTGCTTTTTGCTACTATGCTGCACCGGCTTCCTCATTACCTCAAATGTGCACCAACTCTAGAAATGTTTAAATAGAAATTGAAAACCTTCATGTATTCATCAGCATTTGGATGAATGTTTCCGATGTTGCACCTTTTGCACTGTAACTGCTCACCCTTTAGCTTTGTGTTTATTCTGATTATTGAATCCAACATTAATTTGTGTATTTAATTAGCTCTAAATGTATTTGTGCATTTTAATGATGCTGTCACGTTGATTTAGCTTTTCTTGCTCTTGGAAAGCACATTGAATTGCCTCTGTGTATGAAACCTGCTATATAAATAAAGCCGCCTTGCTTAATCCCACAAAAAGTGACAACGTCCTAAATACTAATAGTCAAGATTATAACTGAGAAGTCTAAGAACATTATGACATTTGCAGTAAAAGCAACAGAAAAAAATAGACAATTTGGGTTCAAAACAACTTTTTAAATAGTGTGTAGTGCCTTCATTTCGTGTCTGGTCAGGTGACTCTAGAGTATAAGAACGAATACAACAGACTTATTTTTAGATGAGTGTGTGCAGAACTTATTAAAACAGGAGGCAGTGATGAGCTAAAGGAGTTTCTGTGTCTTCATGGTCTTTAAATAGTGTGTTTATCTCTGCAGCTTCATCTGACCTGATCACTTTTGATGCTCAAACTCAGGAAAAACAGATACTTGGTTAATCTAATCACAGACATTTTCAGGTAAAACCAAAACAAGATGATTAAATACATTTTGGATCTAATCATTTGCACATTACTGAAAAATAAAGTAGCCAAAAAAAGCTATGAGGCTGATTGATCACACAGCAATGTAGATGTGTTGGCGACACGTGATGTAATGGACACATTCTCTTACAAACATTTCCCTTCGGGAGCGTTTCAGATATGAAGCGGCAGCAAAAGTGTTCCATACGGCTGGTCCCACAACATCACAAAAACACCAGAGAATTGCAACGCCATGCGTGATTTCAGCAGTTAAAGTCCCATAGTCATCATCACACACTGGTGAAATTCATCTCCATATATGACCCACCCCCATAGTGAGCGCTGACCAGCAGCTGTGGCCGCAGTCGGGAACTACTTGGTGGTTTAACTCCCCAATCCAACCCCTTGATGCTGAGTGTCAAACGGGGGGCTTTGGGTCCCATTTTTGGATCTTTGTCGTGACCCGACTGGTTTTGAACCCTGATCTCTCAGTCCCAGGGCAGACACTCTACCACTATGTCACTGAGCTGGTCAGCACAGTTCACACGATAAACAAGCAAGGAGAGAGACAGCTGCATGCATCCAAAAAGGCCTGTTGGTTTATTTTCTGTTCTGTTTACCTCGACTCCGGAGGTTTCACAGGTAATCATGTAATTTTATTCACTAGTTAAGCAAAAGGAAATATGCACACAAGTTTTGTTTTGAAGGTTTCCGGATGTTTCAACCCTACTTCCCCTGGAATCATCAGTGGTGCGGAACAGCAGTAGAGCGTCACTGCTTCAAATAGAATCCATTATAGTCAATGGGGGTGATTCAAACCAGCTGTGATGACACAATTTTCAGTCATAAGCCACTTCTGGGACACAATAATTTCCATAGTTAACCTATAGCTAGACAGGAAATCACATATGGTTTTAGTGTAAAACCCACAGTAATTTCAAAATAAAAGACTACTGCAGCAATGCGATTCCAAATCTATGTAGGTTATGTCAATACAAGTGATCTAATGGCTGTGGCCCAGTGGTAGAGTGTGAGATCTGTGTTCAAAACTGGTTGGGTCATACTAAAGACTTTAAAAAATGGGAGCCAGTGCCTCCCTGCTTGACACTGAGGTTTAAGGGGTTGGATTAGGGGGTTAAACTACAGCTCACCACAGGGACGGGTCAAATGTGGAGAGGAATTTCACCAGTGTGTGATGATGACTATGGGACTTTATCTACTCCCAGCATTGTTCCAGAAGTGCAGCTGACATCAAACAGTGATAGCACATGTGATTTAATTCTTTTTGGTATAATGGTGGATGGTATAAACTCGAGGGATTTTGTGATCTGGCAAGTGCAGCGTGGAGCACGGCAGAGAAGCTGCTCCGAGGCTAACATTTTCCGGGTGTGTACTTGCACACAGCGAAAGTCGTGTGTAAAACGTTCAGCTGCCGTTCCGCTTAGCTGATGCTTCCAGTGTGAAGTAGGGGTAACGCCATTTTGAGTCAGAACACGCAATCGGAACTACTGAGGTTGACGTCTTCTGGGAGCTTAGTGCAAGAAATGTTAGACATAAACACTTCATGGCTGATCGAAATGAGTTTCACAGGTTTTGTGGACGTTACATGACAATTATGTGTTCAGAGGAAAATTTCGGTAAGAGATAAAATTTAACTTCCTTCAAATGAAGGAAACTGGACTTCTTTGGTTTTTTGAAGACATTTCCTCAGCAAGTACTGCAGCAATTTCCTAATGTTGTGATTCTCACACATATGGCAATAAACCCCTTCTGATTCGCTTCTCATCCGAGGAGCTTCATCAATTCTGACTGGAATATGGGAAGGTCAAGCTTATAAACTGTAGCTGTCTATTGTGTCTTAAACTAATCCAAACAGCTATTCCCACACAATAGAGCCCAATGACTCCTCAGGGGGTGGGGAGGAGGGGGTATTCATAGGTAGTTTCAGCTCATTATATCAACAACAGATGATTGAGAACCTTCACCAGCATATCCAACTTCATTGTTTACAGCTTAATAATGTTTGTTCAACTCATAATCACATTTTTTAGCATTAGTAAAGTTAGGAGTTAAATCTCTACTATCCATAAATCTGGCCCTTAAAGACAAATAGCTTTCATCTAGTGTGGGTTTAGCAGGACCAGTCAGGAGTGATTTGGTGAAAACTCACATTCTAGTTTGTCCTCAGGGCGCCCACCTTCCAGCAACGACAGGTAGCACACAATGTCCTTGAGCTGCACCGTATCCAGAGGCCTGGGCAGGGCAGCTGTCTTCAGAGGGGTCGAGTTTACTTTCATGAGCTTCAGGCCTGCAGGGAGACAAACAAAAGGTCAAAGCATCCTCCATGATACCTCTGTTAGCTCCAGGACCTGCTGCTAGGATGCCAAGCATCACTCATTTATTGATCTCTTATGGGTGGTGAATCAAATGCAGAAAAGTAGCATGGTGGTGTCTTCTGGCTGTTTTAAACAATAAAGTTTAAGAAGACACCAACACTTATTCTGTCAAACACCTAAAATATCAGAGCCCGGATTTATCACTTCACTAACATAAGGAAAATGAGTGTTTGTGTGATTTCACACAATAAACCAATACATTTAAAATTGAATGAGACCAAAGTATATGTGTTGCAACACATATGAAGTCATTTGCTTTGTAAAATCACAGCATGACTACATTTTACCAAATAAGAAAAACTGTTAGAGTGGTTAGAGTAAGAAGATGGAAAAGAAACTTTCAGCAGCTCATTAAGCAAATAACTTTCAATCCCGTTTCAATCGACAAGCCAATTATGTCATATCTGATCCACATGTTCCTAAGTATCTTAGACCTCTGCCTAGTTAACAGGATTAGTACATTCCTCAACATTCTTAACTCCACCAAAAAAAACAAACATGAAACCCAAAACAGCAAACCTACGGGAGTGAAGATGACTTAAATGTCAGAAATATACGTCCGATCTTCTGAAGTTGAGGGATAAAGACATCCTAGCCATTTTTGGTGAAAGCATGAAAATAAAGATTTCAGGCAAAATCACAAGAACAGATGAAATCCAACACTTGGTGTGAGTGATGCAGATGTAAATCAGCTACTAACACAACAATTTTTTGTTTATTTGACCAAGTTCACTGATGTTTTCAACACTTTTGCAGTGGTCTCAAGTATAAATACATGCCTTGTGAGTTGGTCTCCATGGAAAAACAGCTCTGGTGCTCCTGTTTCAGTAACTAGAATGGAGCAAGAGAAGAGGGGTGCAGAAAATAGCAGGTTTTGGAGTCTTATTTCCTGATAGTCAGACAGCTCTCTTCTGATTGGCCAGCAGCAACATGACTCTATCGCTGACTCGGTTAGCTCTCCAACACTAACATTTAATTTAGAAAAATAACACAAGGAGTTTTGCCATGTTGAGAATTGCTAATGCTAACGGTTAGCTTCTACTAGCTGAGACACAAGTCATTTTTCAACAAACAATGCCGTCAATTTGCCACAATGCCATAGCGGCATCAGGGAGCCTCATAGGTCATTTATCAGATGACTGCGATTGTCGAACCGGTCACTGAGGATCACAGAGGACTGACGCAGAATTTTGTGGACTGGTGCCAGCAAAACCACCTCCTGATTAACCTTCTGATTAAGGAGATGGTGGTGGATCTTCTGCTGTTCCTTCACATCGAGAGAGTGGAATCCTACAAGAACATAGGTGTTCACCTGATTGGTCTCACAACACAGACGCACTGTACAAGAAGTGCCAGAGCAGACTCTACCTCCTGAGGAGACTGCGGTTCTTTGGAGTGAATGGGACACTCCTGAAGACTTTCTATGACTCTGTGGTGGCATCGGAAACCCTGTACAGTGTGGTCCGTTGGAGCAGCAGCATCACAGAGAGAGAGAGGAAGAAGCTGGACAGGTTGATAAAGATGTCCAGCTCTGTCCTGGGCTGTCCTCTGGACTCTGAGAGGTGGAGGGCAAGAGGGTGCTGGCCAAACTCAGATCAATGCTGGACCATGAGTCACACCCCCTGCAGGACGCCCTGTCTGCTCTGGAGAGCAGCTTCAGTGACAGACTGATCCATCCTCGCTGTGTGAAGGAGAGATACTGCAGGTCTTCCCTGCTGTTAGACTATATGGTCACTGCTAACATGGAACCCATACATCTATAATGTTCCACTACAACTATCATCATCGACGTGTGCAATATTACTACTACTATTATCTTGATTCTCTAATTTACAACTTGTATACTCTTAAGTGATATATTTTGTTTATGTTTATGTTTATTTTTATTTGGCAGACGTCTTTATCCAGGGCATGTTGTGATCTGTGGGGGAAACCTGGAGGAAACCCACGCATGCATGGGGAGAACACGCAAATCCACGCAGAAAGGCCGCAGCCGAGTTTCGAACCTGCAACCTTCGTGCTGCGAGGCAACAGCGCTAACAAGTGCGCCACCATGCAGCCATATTTTGTGTTCTACTGCTGCAATCCTCTGTCCTTGAGCTGTTGCAATAATGCAGTTTCCCCACTGAGGGACAAGTAAAGGCATTCTTATTATTATTTTTCTTATCAACCGTGTTTAAAAAATAACAAGTGAAACACAGATTCTCAGAGAACTTGCTAATTAATTAATGTTACTACTAAAATCACAAGTTTCAAGTTTCAGTTAAATATCTGTAAAACTGACGGAGTTGCAGCCGTGTTTGTGTTAGCTGATTTCAACTAGCTAGCAGCCATCAAGTCAATCAACAAAAGTCAATTAACTGTACATCAAGTCTACATTGGGTAAATTGGAAAGTTTCAATAAAATCAGTGTAGTGATTAATAAATGCTTACACTTTGCTTTTTACCCTAAAATTACAATACAAAACTATAAGAATACATCAGAAAATCCCCAATATTTAAGAAATGACATTTCCTGGAGTTTTATGTCTATTTCCATCTTTCCCTCCATAAGTAATGTGGCTAATACTAATGCAAGAAATAGGTGTAAAAACCTATGTTCACCTTCAACCTGGCCAATCGTATTTCAAAAATATCACAAAAATTGGTTTCTCTGTGAAATTGGTCTTTTAAATGAACAAAGATCCACCTTTGTGCTTTAGCTGTTGCCTGTATCTTCATTTATGTTGCCTGAAAAGGTTAATCAGTTCTAGAGCTAAATATTATATTTTGGTTATATTTAAAGTCTGTCAAGAGGTTGATGAGGCAGTAAGCTAACAGAAACAGGCAAAAACATCATGGTCCACATTTGTGGGAGTGGAGCAAAAACCTTCTGGCTGGTTAGACTAAGTTTGGGATTAAAAACAAAAACAAAGCAATTAACACTTACAGTTTCATGTGTTACAATTTCATTTTTCTATCAGTAAGCCATTGCCACACAAGAAGGAAATATTAGCGTTAAAGCTGTAAACAAACAAAACTCCCGCCAACACGACTGGCAGACTTTACTCCATCATTTATATTTTGTGCCACTAGGCTGGACGACAGGGATAAATCATCTGAAGGCACCAAACAGAAGTACAAATGCAAAGTACTCATTTTCTGGAATTGATACATTCTTCAAATCAATAAAATGAAATCATAGTCATAATTCACTGAATATGTGCTTTGAAGGCAGAGATTTGGCTGCAGTGTTGCAATAAAAAAAAGCTTTAGATGCTTCCTATATGCAACAGTGGCTATAAACACACTCGGACAGAAATCCGTCTCTCTAAACTTACCAGAGACTCTGGGTTTGTCAGACGATGAAGGACTGGGTTTGGGTCCCTTGTTGCTAAACGACATAAAGAGGTGCTGACAGAATTCCTCAGGGAGTTCACTTTCCAGGAATGTTTGCATAAAGACCTTGAAACCTTCAAAGTCAATCTCCTGAAGAAAATGAGACAGAAACAGATTGTGGTGTTTTGGAGATTTACAGATAATTTCCAGTAAGGACAGCTTAATCTGCTGACTCACTTTGGGTCAAATAATCAGATTTTTGCATCTGTGATTAATTTAATGCTGCAGAATTTGTGCATGAGTTTAGGTTTTATTTTAGGTTCTTCTTCTGAAAGCAAAACTGCTCAGACATTTTTAGATTTACTTAAATTGGTACTTTACTCTTATTTTTTGTGCATTTGCAATTGGTCTCTAATATGAATGAATGCTTTGCAAGCCATACTGGGGGGAGGGTGTCTCAGATGCACCTGTTTCAGCATGGAGAATTCAGCCAGAGGGGATAGTATGGAGCTAGGATTGGGACAATAGTACACATACCTTGTACCAAGTTTTGTAACTAGTAACATGCTTTGGATTATGTAACTTTCAGTTTGTAACGCATAATTCTCTTTTTGTAACACGTAACTTTCGTTTTGTAACATGTAACTTTTGTTTAGTGGCATGTATTTATTGTTTTGTAACATGTAACTTTGAGTATGTAACATGAAACTTTAATTTTGTGACTTGCAGAAAAAAATCAGTGTGCAAGTTTCAAATCTCATCTCTCGTTACCAAAAGTTACATTTTACAAAACAAGAATTGTATGTTACAAAAAAAAAGTTATGTGTTACAAAATGAACGTTTCGTGCTAAAAACAAGAAATACGTGTTCCAAAAAGAACATCGTGTGCTACAAAACAAAATGTATGTGTTACTAAACGAAAGTTACGTGTTATGTGAATTACATGCTACTAAAAAAATAAAAAGTACATTTACAAAACTTGGTACAAGTTACATGTAAGATTCTCCCAATCCTAGCTCAATAGTCCAGTAGCTGCAATCAAACAGGATTTGGTGTCTTATTTCTGATATTTGAACATCTCGCCTTTGTTTGGCTAACAGCAACGTGACTCTGACAACTGATTCCACCTGCTTTGGTTTAGGGTTTTGTCTCCACAAATATCACAAGCCAGGAGAAACTACTGCTGTGTGGTGGAGCTGCTAATGCTAACAGTTAGCTTGTACTAGCCGAGGCATTCTCTGCTGTTTCCTGGAAGCTAAACCAACAATACCCTTCCGTTGTTTTTAGGGGGTCGTGCTTTTTCGGTGCTGGGGCCGAGGCTCTGGAATGAGCTACCTGCATGGGTTAAACAGGCCAGCACGCTTGGCAAGTGTAAGAGCCAGCTGAAAACTCACTTTTATTCTTTAGCTTTTATTCAGGAAGAGTCCCGTTAACTGTTGGCTTTGCACTTTTTGCTGCCCCACCTAGATTTTATCTGCATGTTTTTGCTGGTTTTAAATGGTTTTATATGCTTTTATTTTTTATTTTATTTTTTTAATTTTTTTAATGCTCATTTCTGCTCTGCAGCGCTTTGTTTGGTCCTTGGGCCATGTGAAGGCGCTATATAAATAAAGTTTTAGTTAGTTAGTTAGTTAGTTAGTTAGTTAGTTAGTTAGATAGTTAGTCGTGAGTCAAGATGGGTGAGTCACTGAATGTTAAGTGACAGCGTGAAGGATCTGTCAGGCTTTTCAGATCCTAGCGTTTCACCTTCTATTTTCTATCAGAAGCGAATGCAGGAGACATTTTCATGTTTAATATCCACATGTTTAATCTGCATGTTAAACTCAGAGTGACTGATTATAATCAGAAATAATAATTAAAAAATAGGTTTTTAATGAAGTACCAGTTTATTTAAAAAAAAAGATTTCTAATCATCTTCTAAACTCTCCTCTGACTAAATTTAAAAACCTTTTGAAAATAAGAAAATATCACAACTCCTCCTGAATGGACTCTTCCCGTATATTGTTGAGGTTTGAAACATAATAAATTTTATTTTTTTATATTTGATGCTAGAATCACTTCATTTGATGCCTCATTGTTGTTGTTCCAGGATTAAAACACCAGCTGATCACTGAGCAGAAACACAGACGCTCAGCTGAGAAAGTGATGAAAAAGTAAACAGTCATCTGCTGCAGAATTGGAAAAAAAATAAACATTTCATGTTTTTTCCTTTATGTTCAAGCTGTTTTTGTGTTTCAGTAGCTGCTAACTCCACCCCCTCCTGAGAAATAATCTAAGATTATCTAAACTGAAATATCTCTGACTGCAAACTACTGCAGCCAATATATAAATGTGGTGCACAGTTGGATAAAAAGACAGATCCCTTAGTTTAAAAAATTGCAAACCCTTTCTAATAAAGTTACAATAGCATTATGGATATGTTATTAATTTATCTGTTACCATTTATAAGTTAATAAGTGTTAATTGTGTATTATTAAAAGCAAAAAATAAATAAATCATCATGCTTTTACTAAACATAAAGAAGCAGTGGTATTAGAGCTTTAAAAAAATTCATAATTTGCTATACATGTTTATTACCATTTTGTGGAATACATTGCAAGTAAGATATGTATATATATATATATATATATATATATATATATATATATATATATATATATATATATATATATATATATATATATATATATATATATATATATATATAGGTGTTTACTTGTGAATCTTGATTTTAGCCCCAAAATTGGATAATAAATGTTTTATTTTTCAATGAATGTTTGATTTCTGCTTGATATTAGATGGAGGTGACAAGAATCCACAGAAATAGTCAGAGTGAGAGAAGTCAATTACCTGGTTGAGGATTTCCTGCTTCTATGAACCAGAGCATGAAAGAATAAAATAAAAAACTGTTAATAAAAGCATGATAATAAATGGTTCTAAGACATTAAGCACAGCCATAAACTCATGCTTGTTTTATTTTAGAATTTGTTAACAAAAATATCTGTTTCCTTTGATATTGTTGCTTTTAGCTATTAGTCAAACTTCAGAGTTCTTAACCCTTAATCCCATCTCACGTTTAATTGGCTGCAGATCCGTGTTTGTTTAAACTCACCTACTAAGTAACTTATCCATGTTAGGATTTTCTACAACACATGGAAGAGAAACCAGACCATAAAGTATCTGCTGTATGACACAATGTAAACTGAACACACCTCATCTGAATTGTATTTGGCCAACACGCCGTCTCCATGGAGCTCCTGCAGCACGTCCTTCAGCTTCTTGGTTGAGTCTGATGAGAAACATGCCACCATTTTTATTGTCCTGTTTGTAATAAATCTTCATTAGGTTTAACCCATTAAAACCTAAAATAATAATAATAATAATAATAATAATTATTATTATTATTATTATTATTATAAGAAGGAGAAGAAGAATATTTTTATTTACATCCGAACTATCTAGTGTTAAATGGAATAATTTTATTATGCAATTCATTAATACATACAATAAATAAAATTGGCCCTTGCCACCTGTAGATCCTCCACCATGGGGTGATAAACATGTAACGGACCTTAGGTGGCAGAGTTATTGTCTGGGATCACAGCTAAGTCTCAACTAGTTAGTAAGTAAGTAATGTTTATTTTTATAGCCCTTTTCGCAGAAAGAATCCCAAAATGCTTCACAACAGCAAAGTAATAGAACAACAATCATGACAATGCGAAAGAGGGTGACTACCATAAAATCAATATAATCACAAACCACATAAAAGCATTAAAGAAACTTCAAAGAAGTGCAATCAATAGAAACACAGGCGTATACAGCATAGAAGCATAAAAACAAAGCTACACAAATGAAAAGCAATCAAAGTCAACAAAATCAATAAAAAGCCTGATAAAAAAGACACAGGGTTGGTGGTAGAGTGTTCCACAGTGAAGGGAATATTGCCTGAAAGGCCAGATCACCTCTGGTCCTAAACCTAGTTTGGGGCGCTATCATGTAGCTGTTGGCCTGAAGATCTGAGAGCGCATCCAGGGTTGAAGACATTCAGTAGATCAGTGATATAATCAGGTGCCTGAACATGTAACACTGTAAAAACTGTGAGTCAGTATAGTATCGCTAAAACTGATTATGCAAGCTCTTTTACTGTTGCAAAAAAACGTCTGGCAGCAGAGTTTTGTACAAACTGCACATGTCAAAGATCCATCTTGCTTAGGTATGTAAAACATTATTACAGTAATCCAATTGAGAGGAGATAAAAGCATGTATTATCATCTCTAGCTCTTTTTAGAAAGCATGGCCCTAAGTTTCTAACTATTTCTTAATTGGAGGAGACAGTTTTTGTCTAACGTCTCAGAGTCAAAGGCAACACCAAGGTTGTAGACACTCAATCAAGCTGAAGAGCCCGATGTACTTAGGTGGTCTTTGATTAGTTAGACCTTACCCCAGAAGCAATAATTAAGATCTCAGTCGTACCAGGGTTAATTTGTTAAAAGTTCATACTCAGCCAACGTTTGATTTGTCCATGAGTGAAGACAATAAAGTCAATCATTCTCATTGAAGGAAACATGCAATTAAATATTGCCCATATACAAGAGATATGGTATATTGCTGTATTTGAGGATAATCGGCTCCTAGGGGAAGAATGTATGGTAAAAACAATAGGGGTCCCAAAACTGAACCCTGTGGTACTCCGCACTCATTCTTTGTTGGTTACTCAAGAATGAGTGTGTATGGGTGTGTTTGTGTGAGTGGGTCACCATGTGCAGGCTGAATGTTGTGTCTTCAGATTGTTGGTGGTGCTGAGCTCTTTTAATCATGAACAAACCAAGAAAGCTAAAACGACCTTGTTTTTCACTGTAAAACTGCCACACGCCACACACATACACACACATATGTGTGTGTGTGTGTGTGTGTGTGTGTGTAGAGAGAGAGAAACTTTCATTGTGTTAATATGGTGTCCAAAGAATATATTTGGTAATTTCAATATTAGAAAATACTTCACTGAAAAAAAATATTAAAAGTTCTACTTTCACATTTTAAAAATCTTCTTCAATAAAATATTGAAGTTTAACATTTAGTGTTTCCCCTGCCCTTTGTATTTAGACCCTGTTTAATGCTTCTTGGCTACACCTACACAACAGGTTTACGTTTTTTTCAGATCTAACTAAAGCCGGGCGTACACTGTGCGGCTTTTTCACTTTTTTGAGCCGATTTTCCACTCGTGCGAGAATCCACGAGATCGGGGTGAGTTTTGCGCCGAGCATCGTGTAGTGTACAGGGGGTTACGAGAGGCGATTAACACCACGTGACCAGCTAACGATCGGCAATCGTGAGCTCGCACGGACTTCTGGCGTGTTTAATATTTTGCTCGTCCCTCGTGAGGGTATCGCACTGTTGAAGCGGCGCTGCAAGCAGCTGCGACCCAAAATGTATCAGAACCGCTCACGGCGCATGCGCAATCCTGCATCAACACTGCTCACCCGCTATTTCCCTAATAACACTTGTTGTTCGTTTTTGTTTCTACATGTTTTTTTACTCACAAAGATTGTCAAGAAAGCGTGTTTGTTGTGTTCATGTCAAATTAAACTGATCACAAAACACAGATTTACTTTCTTTATTTCGTTTTCCTCATCCAACCCCCATAAATCCCTGTGTGTCCTCCTGCAGCACTCCTGAAGGACAACAGGCAAAACAAGACAAAAAGGTCTGACGTGTTGAGTAAAAACTGCTATTTTTAGCATATTTTTAGGGCCGACGTGTTGCTACCAGACTAGTGTGAGCAGTCAGGTCGCATCCGAGAACTGGGTCGTGCAGTGTGAGCGCATGACTCGTGAGATCTGCCCTGCGAGGAAGTTGTACAGTTTGAGCTGAAGCTGAGTGCTACGAGTGAAAAAGCCGCACAGTGTACGCCCGGCTTAATTAATTTCAAACCACTTCTTAACTTTGTAAATGAAACATCCTCCTTTCTGTTCTGTCCTCTGAGTTTTACTCTCCCAGATTTATCATGCATCTTTTATAATGCAGATCAGCATTAAGTTACCAACTGACCAGCTCAGTGACCTAGTGGTAGAGTGTCCGCCCTGAGACTGGGAGATCAGGGTTCGATTCCTGGTCGGGTCATACCAAAGACTTTGAAAAAATTTGACCCAATGCCTCCCTGCTTGACACTCAGCATTAAGGGGTTGGATTGTGGGGTTAAACCACCAAATGGTTCCCGAGCGTGGCTGTGTCTGCAGCTCACCGCTCCCCCAGGGGATGGGTCAAATGCGGAGAACAAATTTCGCACACACATCAGTGTGTGTGACAACTAATGGGACTTTAACTTTAACTTTAATAGTCTCCCGTTGTGTCTCACGAGTGCTGTTGAGGCTGTTCGGGACTTAATGCATTTCCTGATTTTCGGCACAGGAGTTAGGTGCTCGCCCTGTAATCGCAAGGTTGCAGGTTCGAGCCCCGCTCAGTCTGTCACTGTCGTTGTGTCTTTGGGCAAGACACTTAATCCACATTGCCTGCTGGTGGTGGTCGGAGTGACCGGTGGCGCCAGTGCTCGGCAGCCTCGCCTCTGTCAGTGCACCCCAGGGCAGCTGTGGCTACCTCGTAGATCATCCCCACCAGTGTGAATGTGTGCGTGAATGGGTGAATGACTGATTGTGTTGTAAAGCGTCTTGGAGGGTTCCATGACTTGAAGGCGCTATATCAAATGCAGGCCATTTAACATTTATTTCAGGTAATCTAGCTTTCTGCCTTTCTTACACATCAGGTTCAAAATTGCTAATTACACCAGCTGGTTGTTTTCTGCCTTTAGCATGAATACTCCATGGTTTTCTCTTTCAGTTCATTGTCATTGCTTTATTAGTGTCTATAGCTCTAATCTGTTATTTTTATTTTCTGGTCTGCATTCAGATTCTTTTGCAGAATTATAGTGATTGAAGTGAGCTTTTAAATGTCAACCCTGTGTTTTTAGGGGTTAGGGTTACCATCCAGATCACGTTTTGTTTTATATTTTTATTGGTACTCTGAATATTTGGATGTTTCCTTGTTTGTGTACAACACTTTGGCCACCATGATTGGATTAGACTGAAAGTTCAACTTAATATGTCTAAAGCACCCTATGCTGCAACACTGTTCTGTATTCAAATACTGTATAATAACACAATAAAAGTCAAATATTAGCTAATATTTGGCTTGCTGCCTTTAAGAGATTTTGCTGCATTAATGGCTCCAAAGGTTTTTTTTCCTCCAGAAATAATTTTACCAAACGTGACTCAAGATACATTCGAGTGAGTCATTTTTACTGACTGTGTTTATTAGCACTCCATCACACCCTCACATGCTAAAGCTGGAGGAGGATGAATCGCTGATTACCTGTTACAGGTTCGCAATCATGGTAACGGTTGTTTAGTGACTCAACTCATCTCATGTTATTTAGATTGATGAACATTTCCGTTACCTATAAAGCTAAAAGAAGCATCCCCCATTGCTGTGAAAACTCGCATCAGCAATAAAAATGCTGAAAGGGAAACGCTAATTGTCAGATCTGCTCAGGCATGCGGCTATTAGGATGTTATGAAAGTGTGCATTGCGCCATTTAATGAGAAGAAAGGGGGAGATACAGAAGAGTGGAGCTGAAGCATTATACGTCTGTTGTTGCAGCTCAAAGATCGGGAGGTTTAGACTCGTAGCTGCAGGGTGGCTGCAGAGGCGCCCAGAACTTTTTCAAACCTGATTATCTGAATTCTGCCGTGCACCTTGTGCACATTCTCACACTCATCAGCACGGGTTTGATTATCCTGTCAATTATTTTCTTTTATCATATACGTCTACTTTTATAAGCAGAAAAAAATACGTTGTCTCTCAAGCATGTTTTTTTATTAAATTTTTAACAAGCTGAGTTCACTATAGAGCACAGGAGAATTTTAGTGGTTTTGAGTAACAAACGTGTTCTCAGTGAGAAGCAGAAAATATTAAGATTCTAATATAATGTAATATAATATAATATAATATAATAATAATGTCATATAATATAATATAATATAATTTACTGTGTATCAAACGCTACACGGGTGCTTAATAAAGAAACAGTTTATAGTAAAACAGTTTGATTAAATTGTGTTCATTATTTTTGCACTTTTCTTTCTGCAAAATTTTTTGTTTGTTGTATTATAATTTCAAATGTTTTTAAGTGTTTAAACAAAAATTTCATTCAGAATAAAATTGGACCAACAGTTGTGTCAATCTGAGAGCCTTTAAAGTCCAATAAAACCAGTTATTTTCCAGCTCCCGTACTGTGGCGTTCCTTAGTGTGATGTTCTTTTTACTGCAGCTTACAGCTGGTTTGTTATTGTTACCTTAGTGTCTTGATGCTATCTGGGTGAATTTGTGTTTACGGTGCACGCAGGGACCACATGAATGTCTACTTTTATTTATGAGGAGGATTACCAAAGTCACTGCAGCCTGCCAACTTTCCAACGTTACAAAGTCGTGGAAGGAAACGGCCTCAGGAACAACCTGCAGGATGTGTTAATCTTAAATTCTTTTAACAACCACGTCTAATTGCAAAACACAATATTTGTATTTCTGCACAAGCAGGTGTTTCCCCCTCTAAACACTAATAGTTAAATAAAAAAAACTTATTAGGGATTAAATTGAATTTTTGCACAGGATATGCTTTAAAGACTAAGTTCTAAGTTTTACTTGCATTGGTTTCTAGTCTAAACGAGTCCCACTTGAGTTCATCTATGTGGAAAAAAGCTCTATGGAGGAAACAGAACAGGGCAGAATTTGAAGTCTTATTTCCTGATATTTGGACACCTTGCCTACAATTAGCTAACAGCAACACACCTCTACCACTGATTCAGTTTGCTTTGCTACAATGATGTTTTATCTCCACAAATAACACAAGCCTGATGGAGTTCTTCTGTGTGGTGAAGTTGCTAAAGCTAACGGTTAGCCTCTAGTAGCTGAGATATTCTCTGCTCTCTTCTGCGGGCTAAACCAACAGCAGCCTTCCCTGTCGAGTCAAAATGAGTGAGTCAATTAATTCATTTATAGTGTAACATGGATAGATGGTTTTTCTAACATTAGCATTTCCCCATCTACTTTCTATGACTAGCTTACGCAGGAAGAAGAGGTAGTTGATTGTTTTCGCATTATACCATGTCCTGTATGTGATGACTTTTATAAGAACAAGTAAAAAACTGTTTCTCACATAAAGACATGCTATTAAAATAAGTTATTTAATAATCTGAAATACATTGCAAAATCTCTGTTCCGTGACATATAGGAAGTGTTCATCTAATAATAATTCATTCATGAGTCATAGCTGGTACAATATTCACACACTCTTTTGATCTTAAAGACAAAAAATGTTTATGTCTATGTTCCAGCTGAGAGAGCAAGTGTCTGTTTTATTACCTCCAACAAACGGCAAGCAGCTTTTAAATACTTCACTTTTTCCACAACCTCCATCAATATCTCCAGTCCTCTGTGTTTATTACAGCTTTATGTTAAAAATAGCCCAGCTGTAGACAACAATTGAAACCATAACAGGTTCTACGGAGCTAGGATTGGGACAGTATTCCATGTAACTTGTAGCAAGTTACGTAACTTGTAACATGTTTTGTAACTGTAACTTTTGTTTTCTTGCATGTAATTCACATTTTGTAACACGTAACTTTCGTTTTGTAACAAGTAACTTTTGTTTTGTAACATGTAACTTTTGGTACGAGAGCTGTGATTTGAAATTTGCACATTGATTGTTTTTCTGCAAGTTACAAAATTAAAGTTTCATGTTACATACTGAAATTTACACTCTACAAAACAAAAAATACATACTACAAAATGAAAGTTACAAGTTACAAAATGAATGTTACATGTTACAAAATGAGAATTACGTGTTACAAACCAAAACATATGCGCTACACAAAAATAACTATGTGTACCAAAACGTGAATTACCATCCATCCATCCATTTTCTGAACCCGCTTTGTCCACGCGGTGTCGCGGGGGGTGGGGTCTATCTCCAGCGGTTAGCGGGCAATCAGGCGGGGTACACCCTGGACAGAGAGCCAGTCCATCGCAGGGCAACACATAGACACACAGGACAAACAATCATGCACACACACACACACACACACACACACACACACACACACACACACACACACACACACACACACACACACACACACACACACACACACACACACACGGACAATTTGGACAGACCAATCAACCTAACAGTCATGTTTTTGGACTGTGGGAGGAAGCCGGAGAGAACCCACGCAAGCACAGGGAGAACATGCAAACTCCATGCAGAAAGATCCCAGGCCGGGAAGCGAACCCAGAACCTTCTTGCTGCAAGGCAACAGCTCTAACCACTGCACCATTGCGCAGCAACGTGAATTACATGCTATAAAATTTAAATTAAAGTTACAAAATGTGTTACAGGTTACAAAACTTGGTACAAGGTAATATTGTCCCAATCCTAGCTCCTTAGATTGCAACACCAAAAAAAAAACTGCCAAAAAAACCTGCCTTTTCTATAATAAAAACAGCTTTCAAGAGAATTCACTTAGTATGATTAATCACTTTTTAAAATATAGGAGAAGAAATTTTCTTTTAAGTGTGATTTAAGACTAAGAACTCTCCACGTTTATCTCTGTTGTGCTTCATCTCAAACCCCTGACTGCAGAGGAGGCTCTTATGTAAGTAAACACTAGTAAACAGCAACTGTAGAGGTGGAAATGACATCATTTAGCCTCCATGTGCTTCAATCTGTTTGTTAAATCTCACATCAGAGTGTTTAATTTCCACCCAGCTGTCAATTGTTAAATTTCCCATTCAATTTTAGGAAATCCAGTTTTAATCATGTTGTTCCATCGACACTTGATTTGAATTTATGAATCTGATGATGGGATTAACTCAGCTCACAACATGACTCTGGTGCTCGGTTCCTTGCCAACATAGTTTATTTGGTTATTTTGGGGGAGAGGAAAAGTTTGAAGCTTGAAAAATAGATTTTTTTTATTCTTTAAATTTCTGTAATTTTACATTTTAGAATTCTGGATCAATACATCTGCAATGGTCTCTAGTGGGAATGAATGCCCTGTAAGTCGTTCTCAGGTTGAAAGAAGCTCAGGTGGGTCTTTTTGATGACGTAGAAATCAACCAGAGGAGAAAGTAGCGTCAGACGGCAGGATTTGGAGTTTTATTGCCTGATACTTGAACATCTCTCTGATTGGGTAAAAGCAACACAACTCTACCACTGTCTTCATTTTGCAATGATGATGTTTTATCTCTGCAAAAAACACAAGCCTGAAGGAGTCCTGTCGTGTTGTGGAGTTGCTAATGCTAACAGTTAGCTTCTAATAGTCGAGACCATTGGTTGAGATGTTTTCTGCTCTCTCCTCGATGCTAAACAACAGCAGCATTCCCCGTCACGAGCCAAGATGTGTGAGTCCATGCATAATATCTGTTTTTCTATCAGAAGTTAATACAGGAAATAGGGGTAGAGGCCTATTGTCATGTTCAGCCTGCATGTAAGAAAAAGAAACTGATTTTTCACAAATTAATAATAACAATAATGGATTGGTTTTATATTATGCTTTTCTATGCACTCTCACATTCACACTCTGCCGTGATAGTAAGCTACTATGTAGCCACAGCTGCCCTGGGGCGGTCTGACAGAGGCGAAGCTGCCATTTTTCGCCATGACTACCATCAACACACCAATTAGCTGATGTTTTAAAGCCAGGATTTAACACAGCTAGCTGTGGCAGTTCATTGGCAACATTTTTTGTTTCTGCAGCTTGTGACATCACAGAAAATAGCACGAGAACAGCTCATCTACTCACACTGAGCATACTCCTGTAGAAGGGCGAATTCAGTCGGAGTCAGAGTGACCCATTTGTCCTGAGTGCTCATCGTGTTCAGGCCTCGTCTCGGTATTCACTGAGCATTTCCGGGACAACAGCAGCGTGCAGCAGGATGTCTCAGCTTAAAATAAACACATAACAGCAGCTTCATAAACAACAGGAGCCATCTTTAAGCATCTTTGTTTTTAAGCAGAGAGAAAACAGACAAAAGCAGGTAAAATGCATATCTGCAGCTGGAGACATTGTTAGAGTCAATTAAAGGTAACAAGATTTGCAGACAGAGTGAAAGCAAAACAAATTTGGACAAATTATTTTAGTTTTTGATTTTTGTTCTGCTACAGCCTCTCAATCTGCTGGAATTGTCTCTCTGAACATCCACCTTTACCACAGGAACTCAAAGTCAGACACGCTGGAGAGAATTCAGTGTAATAAACTGAGGTATAATGAAGACTTAAAAAAAATAATTGTAAAGAAGTATTTTGTTGTTGTTGTTGTTGTCGTCATCGTTGTCGTTGTCGTCATCATTATAATTACAATTGTCAAAATCACATTGCAGGAAATGTCAGTTGTGTAGCTTTATAATCTGTTCCTTATTTGCAATAAAAGACAAGAATGTTCCAGATGGCTGCTTTGTGTATTAAACCCCTGTCCAGGAAAGACAGCATTAGTGCTAATAATAATGTCACATCTGTCCCTAAAGCCAGTTTTGGAGGCTGGAATTAGAAAACCAAGCCTTCACTTTAAACTGTTGCCAGATCCACCGGACCCCTGCGGCTTCTCTTGCAGACGGTCGGCCCATATCGATTATTGGCCTGTCACACACCGACTGTTTCATCTTTTTTTCTTAATTGACTTAAACTGACCTGAGCCCCTGGGTATCATGGATGAAGGGTCCAAGCACTGGGTACTCACACCCCCCTCCACCAGCCTGGCACCCAAACAGCCGGTATTCCTGATCTAGGTGAATTTTCCTCGCCTGTTAAGATTCTTCTCAAATAAGTTACTTTATTATTTTTATTTTTTTACCAAATTAAAAGCCCAACTTTCCAAGCCAAAATAGAGCGTGAGATCGATAGGCAGATTGATTCTGAGTCTACAGTACTGCGGGGGTTGTACGGGTCTGTCGTGGTAAAGAGAGAGCTGAGCCGGAAGACGAAGCTTTAAATTTATGGGTTGATCTAAATTCCTACCCCCACCTATGGTCACAAGCTTTGGGTAGTGACCGAAAGAACGAGATTGCAGATACAAGTGGCCAAAATGAGTTTTCTCCACAGGGTGGCTTGACCTTAGAGATAGAGTGAGAAGCTTGGTCATATGGGAGAGGCTCCGAGTAGACCCTCTGCTCCTCCATGTTGAGAGGAGCCAGTTGAGGTGGCTCGGGCATCTGGTCAGAATGCCTCCTGGATGCCTTCCTTGTTAGGTTTTCCAGGCACGTCCAACTGGGAGGAGACCCAAGGGAAGACCCAGGACACGCTGGAGGGACTACGTCTCTTGGCTTCCCCAGAGGAGCTGACCCAAGTAGCTGGGGAGAGGGAAGTCTGGGCCCCTGGGCCCCTGGGCTTACATTGCTGCCCCGCGACACAGCTCCGGATAAGTGGCTGAAGATGGATGGATGGATGGATGGATGGATGGATGGATAATTAAAATCCAGACAGCATCTTCATGAGGTGAAATGTGATTTTTCACTTTACATTTATCTGAATAAGAATCATCTTTTGTAGTTCAACCAGAAAACTTCTCTACAAGTCCAGGTACGACTAAATTTGACTTAACAGCACAACCTGACCAAGAGTACACACAAGAACACACAGACACAACACGTTCAGGCAGGCTGAGGGAGCAGCCCCTTCAAGTCGCTTTTGTGTGGATGGGAAGGATGAGATAAAGAGAAAGGTGAGACAAAGGGGAGCGAAAGGATGAGGGAGAAAAACAGAATTTCATGAGCGATCCACTTGGCGGCGCTTTGCAGCTTATGAGTCCTGGGCGTGAAAGTCAAAGTGTGAGGAGAGCATTGACCCCATAGTGGGTCCCAGATAACTCGCAAGCTGATTCACGAGTTTACAGTCCCATGTCAGAAGTAGGCGAGGGAGGGGAAGAGCATCTGTCTGTATTGTCTCCAGAGGGAGTTTTGAATTCTTCAGACCTCAAGGCCTAACAAAACAGATTCAGTTAACATTTAATGTTTTAGAACAGGACAAAGAGAATATTTTGCCTTCGGTCCTTTCCGGTCTCAAGAGCATCCAAACAGCCGAATCAACGGGGTAGGTTACCAACAAACCGAGCTAAACATTTTGTTGGTTTCCTTTCTGCATACAATTTCAAAAAACGCAGCCAGATTACTGCTCAGAGCATCCAGCTTGCCATTCATCTCATGAGTCTGAGAGTTCAAAGCTTGGCATATTCCTTCTCTGAGCTTGGGAGACCCGCCAATTGTTCCTGTCAGCTCCAAAATGTTCCGATACACCAGGTACCCACCAGCTCCAAGCAGCAGGCAGCAAGAAGGTTGTCATGAATCCAAAAATTGTAACTTCTTCTGCATCCTCCACAGACAGTATCGACAGATACTCTTCCACTGCTCTAAGGAATCTTTCCAACTGTGTTCCATCAGAACAAGAAGGAACCCCCTACTTCATTACTAATGTGGACATCTTTTTTTGTCTATCTCTAACTTTTACTTATTGCAAATTGCAAATGTGTTTTGACGTGATTCATAAGAGCAACACAGTTTGGAGTAATGACCAATAGAACTACAGATATGTGTTTGGTAAAGAACACAAGTGTATTATGTTTGTTTTATTTCTGATGTAATACTGAAAATACAAACACATAAATAGATAAAATAACATCGGAGATGCTGTTTGGTTTAAGACTGAATTGAGTAAAAAGTGTCTGTTAGAGAAATGAAAACAAACTCGTCTTTTGGATGAAAGCATCACATGTTGCTGCGGTTCTGCTTCCTCCATCAGTCTGACTGATTTCCACAATAGAGTTCAGACTAAAAGAGTCCAAAAACAGGGTCCAGTACTCCTGAGCTTAATCCAGCATTTCAGCTGAGCTAAATGAGGCGTTCATTTGTTTAGACAGTGTTTCAGTCTAACCCAACCCAAAACCTACCTATAAGCATATTTATGCTTTTAAATAAACCTGGAAGAATTATCTGTTATTTATCATTCATCATCGCAGTTTGATGTGATTTCCTCAAACTTTATTTGTTGTTATTTTAGACTGATTTAGCATTTAACCAGATTCTGCTACACCTGTGTCGTGTGTGTGTGTGTGTGTGTGTGTGTGTGTGTGTGTGTGTGTGTGTGTGTGTGTGTGTGTGTGTGTGTGTGTCCTATTGCCAGTGAAGCATTTGACCCATTTAGCGACTGAAGCCTTGGCTCAACAAGTGGAAGTTCATTCATGTGCAGGATGGATTTGTGTCTGAGTCGTTGTGTGTAAATAATCCTCGTTGGTAGATTTCAAACAAGCTGCAAATGCATCTGATTCAGTTTCAACTCACATCTGTGAAGAATTCCCTCGGGCTTTCCTTATTATTTTTATTTTCACTGTGATTGGGCTGATTGCAGAAACACAACCTTCATGAAAAATTAAGAGGGCATCCTCTTAACAAAATGGCAAGAATGCACAGATGAGGAACACTCCATCACAGTTGCTGCATCAACCCTGGATGTGAAATCAGCCTCCCGTACTTAAACTTTGATCTGCCTCTGGAGCTGAAATGAGAAACATTCAGCTGTGTGTGCTGTTATTGTTGTGATGCTTTGCACAAACTGTATTTGTCTAACAACGATTCGTACATCTTTCTTATGTAAAATTGTTGCATGGAGCATATTTGTGCTGTGCGCTGCACCGCAACCCTCCTCACCCTCTTTCTGCAGTGCATTTTCTGAAAACACCACTGGCAACAACAGGAACCCAGCTCTGTCAATGTCTAGTGCTGGTGCTCTGAAGGATGACATGCATCACCATCCACTGACAGGAGATCATGGCTGATGCTGTGATCCACACACACACACACACACACACACACACACACACACACACACACACACACACACACACACACACACACAGAGAGAGAGAGAGAGAGAGAGAGAGGGAGGCAGGTAGTAGCCACTGGAATGAGGGATCAAGACTCTGCTAACCTGCTCCAGGGATGGAGATGGCCACAGAACAAGATGAGGGAGGAGTTTTCCAGGCAGATGTCTTCAAGGGAAGCTCATCGCTCACATTCCTGCTGTTCACGTCTCTAGATCTTCTCTGAGCTGCGAGGCAGATGGGTGTTTGTGATCCTTATCAGCAGCGGCAGCCCTCTACGCTGCATGTCAGTGTGGTGTGAATGGTGGGGTGTTTGCGTTTCTCTGACGGCGTCTGGTCAGAGCAGCATCGCTGAGGATGTGGAGTGGTGACTCCAAAGGGAGGGAGAGAGAGAGAAAACAGGGAGGATGAGGGAGAGGCGAGTTATCCAACGTCGTTCTGCCTGCAGTGATCAGTTTCCATACTCCCGCTCGCTCACGTCACATCCCTCCATCCCTCCCCTCCTCTGCTCAGCTCACCCTCCCTCCTCCTGAAAGCCCTCAGGTCCTATGCTCTTCTGCTTTCTCTCTCTCGCTCATCTGTCCTCCCTCCTATTTTTTACTGCATTTCCATCATGTTCACTGAGGCACACGTCAGCAGAAACATCAGCAGTAGCGCAAGTCAGGCTGTGAGTGCAGCAAACAGTGGGATTTCCTCCGAGGACTCACAGGAGGAAGGAATAACGGGAGGCAGAACTAAACCTGTGTTTGAAATATTAAAGCTGCTGCAGCAAATTTGGAAAACAAACATTCTAACATAGTATACACACAAATACAGGCCATGTACCATAAATAGAAAATAATGTATTTATGAACTGTTTGACTGATTTTGATTTACAATATTAATTCATGTGTTGGAAAATCATCACAGCTAAGGTCGAGACACATATGTGCAGTAAGATTTTATGGGAGTAATTATAATGAGAGATGATGTTAATTACAATATGTTCTCCACTAATAACAGTAAAATAATTTCATCCACCTCAGAGTAATGCACTTATTCTGCTTTAACCTTCTAGTGTTTATTCATAAAATACACATCTGAATCCCCAGAGGAAAGCTTGATGATGGAAATTAGACATGACACCAAATCCAATAAAGGTAATTTCTTAAATATTGAGGATAGTTTGATGTATTTTTATAGTTTCATAATGTAATTTTAGAGCAAACATTTGATTTAAAATTAAAATGATTTTAATGAAACTTTCAGAAAGTAATTACTGGATGTAAGCCCCATATCTAAAGCCGATTGACTTTTGTTGATTGACTCAGTGGTTGTTAGCTAATTCGAATCAGCTAACACAAAAATGGCTGCAAGTCAGTCAATTTCACAGATTTTTAAAGATTTGGTTCACTTATTTCATCAACACATTTGCAGTGGTTTCTAGTAGAAATGAATGCCTTGTGAGTAAGTAGAAGTGAGCCCCCAAGTGAGCTGGAATCGAACCCGTGACCCTCCGATCATGAGGCAATCTGCTCTACCTCCTGAGCTACTGCTGCCACTTTGCAACACTTTGCAACTTCCTGTTATTTGGCGTGTTGAATTCCTTTGTTCTCAAAGACAGACTGATTTCATAACGTCCGTCAACCAGCTTTGTTGAACTGATGACCAGTTCCATGAACCTTTGATCCTCTACAGACATTCCAAGCTTTTCTTCAGTGCTGCATTCAAGAAAGTCTGTCTTGAACTGTTTCTGCCAGAGGTCATCCAGGTTCTCCACAGAAGCTCTATTCACCGTCAACTCAGGCTGTCGACATTCTTCTTCATTTACACTTTCTCCTGTCAGTGATCCACTCACAGTCTAGCCGAGCATGGTTCTAATGGCAAAAGGTCCATATCCTGTGCTGTAGATTACTTCTAATGGTTCCAAAACTTTAGGAACATTGGTTCCAATCAGCAACTCAATGTCAGCATCCATCTCTGGGAGCTCAACTTCTTTCAGATGAGGCCATTTCACCAAATACGTTTGTTTGGGAATATTTCCTTTGTAAACAGGCATGTGCTCTTGTGTGTAGGTCTTGGGTAACTGACAAAAATGATCATGTCCAAGGCCAGTCACTTCTAAGCCTGTTCTCACATAGCTGCTGACAACCTTTTCCTGACCCATGATCCTCAGGAGTAGAGCCCTGCACGGGCCTACAATCTGAGCCCGTGTCCGGTCCGGCCCGAGGGGGTGGAGCCCCAGCCCGACCCGGTCCGAAAAGGTTTTCAGGATTCTCTGGCCCGACTCGAGCCCGACTTTTTGTTAACCAACTAAATGAAAACAAAGTGCGTCAATCCTGACCAATGTGTTAAAAGACGTGCAGGATCCGATCAATTTGTTTTTCCCTCGTTTACCGTCACGGAGATAACGGCGCAGGCTCTGGTGGTAATCAAGTTAAATTTTATCTCTTTCCAACAATTTTCACAAGAAAACAAAACAGTTAAAAGCAGGGCTTGTGTTGTGTTCACCGGACAGTTCAAGTATTTGAGCGTTAATTTTGACGGAGAAAGAATAGAAAGAATTACCCTGACGCATGCAGATGAACTGACATTTTATTCGTTACGCACATTGCAGGTGTAGCTAAAAGATTCCCATCTGTACATCTGAGCTGGACACTGCTCAGCGCAGCTCGCTGTCAGCGCGTATGTGCACAGCGAGCTGAAGTTGTGGAGATTGGCTTGGAGCGCATCGCAGAACCAGAGCGCATGCGGGAAGGTTCCTCCCACTGAAGCGAGTGTTTTCCAAACCCTGTCTCTCAGAGAGACTTCTCGCTTAGAAAATGTTCCCTGATTGTGAAACTTTGGCTGAATAGTGCTTGTTCCTGTCTCCAATGTGGCGACGCATCCAGGAGCCACATTATTTTACAAGCACAGAGAGCCGCATCAGATGGATGGAAGAGCCGCAGGTTGCCGACCCCTGATATAGCCTATAAAATGACATGTTTTCTCCAGGACCAGAGAGGAGGCAAACTCAATACATCTCTTTTATTGTGAGGTAATAATTTCTCCGAGTTTTGCGGTTGCAGGCGGGAGTAGACATGCACGCTGCAGGTGCGGGGGGGGGGGGGGGGGGGGGGGGGGGTGTAACACACACGTTGCGGTTGCAGGCGGTAATTGTCAGAAATTCAGTGGGAGCGGGCAGGATGAAGAAAACAATCCCGCGCAGGGCTCTACTGCTGCGTTTCAGTCAGGGGTCTGCAACCCGCGGCTCTTCCATCCATCTGATGCGGCTCTCTGTGCTTGTAAAATAATGAATGGATATTTAAATAAAATGCTTTAAATTTTACTGCATTAATTTTACATCTGTATGCCAATTCTAAATGTAAAGATTGTCTGCGTAAACCTGAACAGTTCCAACCCGGTCTTACTGTGAGACCGGGTTGACGCGTCACGCTTGTGCGTAATCATATCAGCGCTTTGTGAGCTGAAGAGGATGTGAGATTCTGGGCTTCTCCTCAGACGGCTCCTGGATGTGTCGCCACATTGGAGACAGGAACAAGCACTATTCAGCCAAAGTTTCATAATCAGGGAACATTTTCTAAGTGGCAAGTCTCTGTGAAAGACAGGGTTTGGAAAACACTCGCTTCAGTCGTAGGAATCTTCCCGCATGCGCTCTGGTTCTGCGATGCGCTCCAAGCCCCTCTCCACATCTTCAGCTGGCTGTGGACCTTATGTAGTGCACGCTGACAGTGAGCTGCGCTGAGCAGTGTCCAGCTCAGATGTTCAGATGGGAATCTTTTCTTGAGTGATTTAGTGTTTCAATTTTTTTTAATGAATTCGATTAAAAATAAAGGCACCCGGCCCGTGTCTGAGGTAATTACACAGTCATTAGCCCGACCCGAGGGCCTAGGGCTTCAGTGCAGGGCTCTATTCAGGAGTATTCGGGCCTTTCTTCCAGTAAGTCCAAGCTTATTCATTAAGGCTTCTGTACAAAAGGCCGCTGTACTGCCTTGATCTAAAAATGCATAAGCATGAACAATCGTGTTGCCGTTATCCACTTTTCCTTGAACAGGAATAATAGGAAGCTTACAATCTTGATCGCCAGCCCCAGTGAGAACGCTTGACACCACTGTGTTGTCAACTGCAACCTTTGGCTCACTTTCTGACTGATTTGAATCACTTGCATTTTTTCTGGGAACAATGCGCAATATGGTTGGATGCTTGAGTCCACATTATTCGCAGGTTATCCGTTTTTTGCAATCTTTGCTGATATGTCCAATACGTAAACAGCCAAAACAGACACCTTTGTCTTTCAAGAAGCCAATCTTCTCTTTATGAACCTTCTTTCCAAACTCCGAACATAGTGACAATGCATGTTTTCTTCCACACCACAGCCTTTCTGCACAGTCTAATAATGCTCATCTCCCTTTTTGTGGACATTTTTCCTCTCCAAAGGTGCAACAGTGGTGGCAAAACTGCTTCCCTTTATTTTCAAATGAGATTGTGTTTTGGGTTTGCTTGCAACTTTACTCAGTGGTTGTGCAGCATCTTTAATATTTCCAAACACTGGATCAGTCAGGATTTTCACTTGCCCCTCTATAAAATTCACAATGTCAATAACGGTCACTCTCTGGTTGCATCTCTCCTGAAGCCCACAAGCTGCAATCCTCCATTTATCCCTGAGCTTGTATGGAAGCTTTTTGATGACTGAAAACATATTTGCTGGCATGTCCAGTTCATCCATATATTGTACTTCCCCAATCACATTGGAGCAACCTCAGAGAAAAAGGCTGTTTTCCTCCAAGGCTTTGACATCATCAGCTTTGATTGGAGACCATGAGAAAATTCTTTCCATATAGGCATGAGCAATTTTCTGTTCATTCCTAAACTGCTGTTGTAACAGTACTTTAGCTTTATTGTAGCCCCTTTCAGGATCTAGGCGCTGACAAGTTTTAACCAGCTCCTTTGGATGTCCACTTGTATACTGTTTGAGGAAATACAGTCTGTCACGGAAACTGTTGGTGTTTCTTTCAACTCCATTCTCAAAGTCTTTCATGAATACATGATATTTCAATGGATCTCCATTAAAAATGGGAATTTCTCTTTTTGGTAAAGATGAAATACACTGTTGTTGAATAAGAAGTGTTGTGATTTCATTCTGCTTTCTCATGATATCCATAATTTTATGCTGGTCTTCATTTCCTGCAATGGTATTCATGTGAATGGGAGGCTGTTTCTGATGTTGAGGTCTTTCTTGGGAACGATGAAAAGAAACCTCTGTGAAGCTCCATGACCTTCAACAAACACAGGGGAAGAATGCCTAGAGTGAGCTGCCCTGGGTTCTTTAGGTCTTACAGCAGGTGCATGTTGTCTGAGCAGGTGCTGGAGATGATGTTAAATCCCCACCCATGATCACCTGACCTGACAGTGATCTCCGTTTACAACAAATAAACCCACCAGAAACACATCAATAAACATATATGTCTCCTATACTAGATAAACTATAAATAAAGGTTATTATGGAAAATTTGGGGGCTGCGCAGTGACGCAGTGGTTAGAGCTGTTGCCTTGAAGCAAGAAGGTCCTGGGTTCGCTTTCCAGCCTGGGGTCCTTCTGCATGGAGTTTGTAAGTTCTCCCTGTGCATGCGTGGGTTCTCTCCGGGTACTCCGGCTTCCTCCCACGGTCCAAAACATGACTGTTAGGTTAATTGGTCTGTCTAAATTGTCCTTAGGTATGTGTGTGTGTGTGTGTGTGTGTGTGTGTGTGTGTGTGTGTGTGTGTGATTGTCCTGTGTGTCTCTGTGTTGCCCTGCGACGGACTGGCTCTCTGTCCAGGGTGTACCCCGCCTGATTGTCCATTGACCGCTGGAGATAGGCACCAGCCCCACACACACACACACACACACACACACACACACACACACACACACACACACACACACACACACACACCCACGACCCCACGTGGACAAGCGGGTTCAGAAAATGGATAGCTGGATGGAAAATTTGACTTTGGACGTTTGAACGTTCTTGACTTCTCTCTATCCCTCAGCTGCCCTGCAGCTCTGTGCCTTTTTATGGAAATTACTGAGTCTTTTTATCTAATCGAGTCAGAAACATCTGATTTCACTTTACGAGAACACGGGATTCATTAGCAGAAGAACACAGAACACAGAATAGATAAAAACATAAATGAGGCTCATTGACTTCGTTATTAACGGCTTCTAATTTCTGACACGGTCAGCACCTGACCGAGCTCCGGGGCTGTTTGCAGATAAGAGTCATTAGCACGGCATGTTTCGTAAATAACAGTTTAGCTTCTGAATGTATAATAAACTAATGAAAAGGTTCTAAACATCATCATTAACAACTCTGTATCACTTTATCACAAGGCCTCCTTAAAAATGCCTGAAAACTAGTTATTAGATCTGTTTGGTTAAACTGTAACACTTTGAAAATCATTGATAAGCATTATCCAATATTAAG